AGCTGGAGCAGCGGGCTGGTGTCTGAGCTGGGCTGCAGAGGGAAGGAAAGCCATGGGGCTGGCCTGGGACAGGAACCAGAGCCGTGGCACCAGCTCTGAGCCCTGCCCGGTGTGCTGAGCCCTTCCCGGGTGTGCTGAGCCCTGCCCGGTGTGCTGAGCCCTGCCCGGTGTGCTGAGCCTTGTCCCGGTGTGCTGAGCCTTTCCTGGGTGTGCTGAGCCATTCCCGGGTATCCTGAGCCCTTCCTGGGTATCCTCAGCCCTGCCCGGGTATCCTGAGCCCTCTGGAGATCCCCCGGATGCCCGCGAGGAGGCAGCCGGCCCTAATGAGTGTTAATGAGCGCTAATGAGCGCCAGGCTAACGAGGAGCGCGGGGTTTGAATGAACCCCAAGGAGCTTTGTCCCTGGACAGGCCGGGCTGGGAGGGCTCGGGGAGTGCTGATTCCTGCCCTGGAAAAGGTGCTTTGTGCTTTTCAAAAGAGGAAACACGGGCAGCTGGGAGCGGGGACTGCCCCGGGAGCGTGCTGCTGGGACAGGGCTGCAGGTGGGCATGGAGGGCACTGGAAACACTGGGATCTGCCGGGGGCACAGCCCGAGGGATGGCTGCTGTCCCTGTGCCACCGTCCCCTGGATGGCTGCTGTCCCCCCTGTGCCATTGTCCCCTGGGATGGCTGCTGTCCCTGTGCCATCGTCCTGTGGGATGGCTGCTGCTGTCCCTGTGCCACCATCCCATGAGATGGCTGCTGCTGTCCCTGTGCCATTGCCATCCCCCAGCCCGGGCGATGCCAACCTCTGCTCCCAGCGAGTGTTTCCCTGTTTGTCCTGGACACGTCCTGCCCCTCAGAGGTGACGCTGGGACACTCTGGGAGCAGGACCCAGTCTGGGAAGGACCTTGGGACACTGAGCACATCCAGAGGGGACAGCCAGGCTGGAGAGGGGCTGGAACACAAACCCTGAGAGGAAGCCCTGAGGGAGCTGGGGGTGCTCCCCTGGAGAAAAGGAGACTCAGGGGTGCCCTCCTCACTGTGCACAGCTCCTGAAAGGTGCCTGTGCTCAGCTGGGCTGGGCTCTGTCTGCAGCAGCACTGACACAGCCAGAGCACACAGCCTGCAGCTGCACCGAGGGAATGCAGGCTGCAGAGCAGGAAAGAGTTTTTCCAGCAAGGTGATAAAGTTCTGGAATGGCTGCCCGGGGAGGTGCTGCAGTCACCATCCCTGGGGGTGTTTAACACAGCCTGGATGTGGCACTGGGGGCCAGGCTTTGGCTGAGCTCTTGGGGCTGGGCTGGGCTCCATGGACTGGAAGGTCTCTTCCCAACCCAGGGATTCTGGGAATCTGTGACCTGCTGCCCACAGAGCTGTCCCATCTCCCAGGGCAGTTTGGGGGTGGCTGCCTGTCCCTGTCCCCATGGCAGTGCCAGTATGTCCCCGGGGTGGATCCACTGTGCCTTGGACCAAATTCCCACAGGAGAGGACGATGGCAGGGCCCTGGTGCGGGTGGGAGCTGGGGTGTCCCTCTGCTCTGTCCCCACTGACCTGGCCAAGAACCCATCCCCAGCAGGCACCAGCGTCCCATCCCACTGTGCTGGAAGCCTGGCAAGGGCTGCAAGAACAGAGCAGCAGCCAGCAGCTCGTAAAATAGACTACATGCTTTATTGGATTGAAAAGTTTTATGAAATGACAAAAAACAAAAAACAAAAACCACCTTAAATCAAGAATTGGCAGATGTGTCAACAGTTGCCGTTTGGTGGATCCCCAACCCCTTCTCCAGAAGCATCCACAGCTCTCTGCCACCACAAGCAGCTCCGGCCCCGACCCCGCTGGCCCCGCTCCCGGGGGGCCCTGCCCGTGACAGCAGGGTGCCCACAAATCGGGGTGCCCATGAATTGGGGTATCCACTAATCGGGGTGCCCATGAATCAGGGTGCCCATGGATTGGGATGCCCACAAATCAGGGTGCCCATGAATCGGGGTGCCCATGGATCAGGGTGCCCACAAATCAGGGTGCCCATGGATCAGGGTGCCCACAGATCGGGGTGCCCACGGAATCGGGGTGCCCAGGCAGCAGCCCCGTTGTGGGGCCGAGCGCGTCCCCCCGTCCCCAGGGAAATGCAGGCACTTAAAGTCATTGAGAGGAATTTTTCACTTATCCCAAAGCAACAGTGAAATTGTTTAACTCCCGCCTACGCAACAAAAAACACCTTTGTAGCCCTTCCTGAATTGTCAAGACACAAATATATTACTCTGGCATAAAGCAAGGCCCCGGGGGGCTCTCGGCATCTGGCCCGGCCTCCTCTTCCTCCTCCTCCCCCATCGTGCATCCTCCTCTGCCTCGGCAGGAGCAGCCCCCTGCCCACCCCAAGGACGTGCGGGATGGTGGTCTGGGGACGGAGGGGGTGCTGAGGACAGGGACCCCGGCCTGGGGGGTCGTGTGGTGCCAGGGAGCTGCCTCGAGTGGGGTGGGAGGGGGCTTGGGGGTTCCCCTGGCAGCCCCGGGGCTGGGCTCCCCCCTCGGGGTGGAACGGTGCCCAGCTGCGGGGATGGGCAGGGCTCACCCCTGGGTGCTCAGCCCTGGGGCAGGGCTCACCCCTGGGTGCTCAGCCCCGGGGATGGGCAGGGCTCACCCCTGGGTGCTCAGCCCCGGGGATGGGCAGGGCTCACCCCTCGGGACAGGCTCGGCCCTCGCAGGGAGTGGGACTCAGCCGCAGCTGCTGCCCTGAGTGGGGACCCCGCAGTGGCCAGGCTGTGCTGGGGACACGCCGAGGTGAGCCGGGGGCTGTGAGCAGCAGGATGTGACCCACAGTGTGCTGAGGGAGGATGGACTGAGCCCGGGTCAGGCTGGTACAGCCAGGGACACCCCGGCGTGTGGCCTCAGGCTGAGGGGGACACTGCCTGTGAGCCTCCTGCGTCCCTCGGGGGGCACAGAGCCCCCAGCACTGCTCCAGGGGAGGACTCTGTCACGGTCCTGCCAGCCAGGCACAGCCTGTCCCCTGCCCTGGAGAGCCCTGCTGTGTCCTGGTCCCTCCCTCTGGCCCTGCCCAGCCAGGACAGGGGACATGGGACAGGCCCTGCTCCGGGGAGCCCCCTCCTCTCCTCTCCGTGTGGATGTGGCAGCACCCCTCGGAATGGCCCTTCCCTCCCCCTGCCCTGGAGAGCCCTGCTGTGTCCTGGTCCCTCCCTCTGGCCCTGCCCAGCCAGGACAGGGGACATGGGACATGGGACAGGCCCTGCTCCGGGGAGCCCCCTCCTCTCCTCTCCGGGTGGATGTGGCAGCTGGACCTGGCTTTGCACCAGCACCCCTCGCAATGGCCCTTCCCTCACTGTCCCTCGTCACCAGGGTCCTCAGCCGGGTCCCCGGGTCCCGGTGAGTTCGGAGGAGTGCAGGGGACCGGGGAGGGTGCCCGGGGAAGTGAAGCCGGGGCCAGGCGTGTCCCTCCCGCCCCGTGTCCCCCGGCACCGGGCAGAGCGGTGCGGGGACAGCCCCGTCCCCGCGGGCCCCCGTGGGCACCGGGAGCGCACAAGTACCGGCAAGGGCAGAGTCCTCCCCTGCTCCTGCGCAGCGAGAGCGGCTCGGGAGGGCATCCCCTTCCCAGGGGCGCAGCCGAGGGGCCGGGCTGGAGGAGTGACTCGGAGAAATGAGGGAGAACCGCTGCGAGCCGAGTCACCCCGGGGGGAGCGCGGAGCCGCCCCCGCCCGCCCTCAGCCTGTGCAAAAGTCGGAGGAGGCAGGAAAACAAGGCAGTGAGCCCCTGCCCGCCCGGCCCCGGCTCTGCCCCTCTCTGTGCCCCAGGGCCAGGGGCTCGCCTCGAGCAGCTCCAGGGAGCCAGGACACAGAACCGGGATGGGACCCATCCCTCCCCATGGATCCCAGGGGGATCCCCCATTCTGGGATAGGATCCATCCCTCCCCACGGATCCCAGGGGGATCCCCCATTCCGGGATGGGATCCATCCCTCCCCACGGATCCCAGGGGGATCCCCCATTCCGCAATGGGATCCATCCCTCCCCACAGATCCCAAGGGACCTGAGAGCGCTCCCAGCTCACCCCAAGCCCGGTGTCCCCCCAGATTGCTCAGAGGGTCCCTCAGCCCTTGCCACATCCGTGTGTGCGCCCGCGCCCCCCGGCCCTGCCCCTCGCCCGGCTCAGCCGGTGCCAACCTCTAATCCCGGCGGGAGGAATTAGAGCTTGGCCGTCCCCGCAGGAAGCCATGCCCAGCCCCGCCGCTGCACGTGGTTTGTGCCCAGCCTGTGCCTACCGGTGACGGCCAAGGCGGCTCCTGGAGCCCCTCTGGAGAGTGGGAGGCAGGAGGCCGAGGGAAATGACAAGTCACAGCTCGCTCCTCCCGGCTGCATGGCTGTGGCCCCCCGGTGCTCCCCAGGGCACGGCGGCGCTGCCCGGGCAGCGGGATGGGTGAGGGGCAGCGGGATGGGTGAGGGGCCCCGGCCCTGCCCACGCACAGGAGGGTGCAGCGGAATGGAGGCAATGGAGAGGGAAGGAGCGAGGGAAGAGAAGCGAGAGGGGGTGGGAAGAGATGGGAGGTGCTGAGCTGTCCCTCGCTCTGGAGCCCCCCGGTCGCTGCTCCTGGCACAGACCCCTGCACATGGGTCACCAAACCTGCCTGGCACTGCACGGAGCCCCCAGATCATCTCCTAGGGTACCACCATCACCATCAGCCTGGAGGCAGCTGAAGAGACCGGCAAGAGAAGGGAAAACTCCTCAACAGAGCGGGAGACATCCAGGGAGAACTGCAGAGATGTTCAGGGATCCCAGACTGGTTTGGGTGAGAAGGAACATGAGGACCATCCAGTGCCACCCTGCCATGGCAGGGACACCTTCCCCTGTGCCAGGCTGCTCCAGCCCCAGTGTCCAGCCTGGCCTTGGGCACTGCCAGGGATCCAGGGGCAGCCCCAGCTGCTCTGGGCACCCTGTGCCAGGGCCTGCCCACCCTGCCAGGGAACAATTCCTTCCCAAAATCCCATTTAACCCTACTTTCTTGTCAGTTAAAAAAAAAAAAAAATAAAACCACATTGAAACCAAACCCAAAGGCCGCGTGGCTGAGCAGAGCAGGAGTAACTGGAAGCCATGCACAGCAAAGCCGGGACCGCAGCGGTCGGAGGGAGGGAGGCAGGGGCGGCTCTTCTCGCGCTTCTCGTCTCGGAGATGAGGAAATAAATAAGTTTAAATAGCTCCTCCCGTGCCGGCGCTGGGGTGACTCGGGGTGCGGAGGGAGCCGGGGCCGCGCTGCGCTCCCGGTGCACGGCCGGCCCCGGGCCCGGCGGACGCGTCCGGGGGTGTCCCCCGCTACTTCTTGGGCTTCTTGAAGATCTTTAGGGGGAACTTTTTCTTGCTCTGGCCGAGGTCAACCTCGTCGCCCGTCAGGCTGCTGTCCTCGTCCCCCGGGCTCTTCTTGGCGGCCAGCTGCGGGATGCGGGTGTTCCTGGCGCCGCTGGGCCGGCAGTCAGAGATGGGGGAGGGGGTGTCGGGGTCGGTGGAGCTGGGGCTGTGCGACCGCGACGAATCCGAGTGGCTGGGCTTGCCGGCCGTCGGGTGGCTGATCTCCCCCAGGCTGGAGGACTTCTCCATGCCGTGGTTCACCATCATCATCTTCTTCATCACCATGGGGCTCTCGGGCAGCCGCTCCTGCAAAGCCGCCAGGGCGGAGGGCTCCCCGTGCCGGCTGCCGCCGTTGGGGGTGGGCGCGCCGGGGCCCGGGGCCGCGGGGACAGCCTCCTCCATGGACCTGGTCAGCAGCGTGGGCCGGGCAGCCAGCAGCTTGGGCGCCGAGCTGGGGATACGCTGGTGGTCGCTCAGGTGCGGGATGGAGGAGTCGGAGTCGCAGCGAGTTAAATCTCTGCGGTGGAGAGCGCCGAGACAGAGGGGTCAGTGCCGGCCCGGCCCGGCCCCGCGCACACGGATGGCAGCAGCGGCTGAGGGGACCCCAGAGACCCCCAGAGGGGCTGGCAGTGAGCCCCTGCCCGCCCGGCCCCGGGTCCCTGTCCCTGCCCTGAATCCCTGTCCCTGCCCTGGTCCCTGTCCCTGCTGATGGTTCCCAGCGCTGGTCCCAGCCCTGGCCTCTGAGGAAGGCTCTCCTCACTGCTCTCCACAAAGTGCTGGCACACGCTGAAGTCCTGGCTGTGCTGGCACGGGGAGCTGGGACAGACCCAGAACGTTCTCCTCGTGCTGGAACAAGAGCATTTCTTCAAGAGAAGCCATGGAACAAAGCCGGGCCCTCGTTCAGCAGCTCCAGGGAACGCAGAGGAAAAGGGATCCTGTGGGTGGCTGGCATTCAGCCCTGGATCTTCTGGGGGAGCCCAGCTGTGCAGAACACCTCAGCTCTCCTCTTCCCCAGCAGCAGAGCCCTGGGCAGTGCTGGCATTGTCCTTGTCCTCGCAGGGTCCGGGTGAGCCGCCGGGAGAACGGAACGATCCCATGGTGTGAGACCCAGGTTATTCTGAGTGAGCAGCTGGAGCCCCTTCAAGGGACACGAGGGCCATCATCACACGTGTGGAGCCACCGAGCTCCCAGGGCCACCAGCGGATGCTGCGGAAGTCACTGTCACGGCTGGTGGCCCACGGCTGTCACTGGGGTAACTGGGGTAACTGGGGAACAGCAGGGAACAGTGGGGCACTCAGGGTGCTGGGGCTGACCCCCAAAACAGGGACACACCCACACCCCTGGGCTGGCACACCTCGGGGTGCTGCCAGTGCCTTCAGACAGAATGTCACTGCCATCGCAGCCTCCAGCTCCATCAAGGAATTCAGGAATCTCCTGCCCTTCCCAAATGTTTCTACTCACGGCTTACCACACCTGAGAAGGGGAATTCCTGCTGGGAATTCCTGCCTGGACACTCCTCTCCCAGGGAAGGTGGCAGAAGCTCTCACCTGCACATGCTGAGCCCTTGCTGAGAACATCCACTTCCAGAGGTTCATTTCCCCCACAAATCCCTGGAAAGTGCCCCCTTCCCAGGAGAACAAAGCAGCCTTTGGCTGCAGGGCTGGCACCAGCCCAAGGCCAGGAGTGGCCGGCGCTGGGTCCCAGCAGAGCTGGAGAAGGAGCGAGGCTGTGGGGCAGAGCCCTGGCACGGGAAGGGTGCTGGGCAGAGCCAGGGCCAGGCCAGGCGGGATCGGATCCTGGCAGGAATGCAGTGCCCACTCTGCACTCGTGGAGCAGGTGGGAGAGCCCCGAGGGACCCCACGTGCCCTGGCTGGGGATGGGGGCACAGCAACACCCGCTCCCTTCACAGGCAGTGTCCCAGCTCCACCACAGAATCTTCTTTTCCAGGAAATCCAGCCCATCCCTTCTGGCTGCCACAATCCCACGGGGAGAGATCCGGGCGAGGGTCGGTGATATAAATCCTTTCCAAACAGCCAGAGGGCAGCAAATAGAGGGAAAAATGGATTTTCCTTCAACTGAGGAGACCTCAAGGATGTGTGAAGAGGGCGAGTGCTCCTCGCTGGGCTCCAGAGAGCTGCTCCCTCTCCTCAAGCCTGGCAGGTTCCAGTGCAGCAGGGACCAAAGCAGCCCTGCAGCGCTGCAGCGGGCGCAAAGCGACGCCAGCAGATGGAGAGCCATGCTCTGCTCCAGGAGGATCCTCTGCCCGGAGAGCTGGGAACCCGATCCCAGGACAGCTGGTCCCACGCCACGGGAGGTGGGCAGGGCCTCGGTGACAGCACAGCCACTGTGTCACCTCCTGGGAGCGCCCTGGCTGCAGCACAGGGCCGGTGTCCCTGCTCCGGGGTGGATGTACTCGGATCCTCGGCCCTGGAGCGGATGCACCACAGGGGTTCCACCCTGGGAGCCCCAGTTCATCCCTCTGGGCTCATCCGGGGGGGCTGGAGGAGCTGATGCCCAAGAGTAATTCCCAAATATTCCTACTCTGCTCATGCACAATCTCTCCAGCTCTAAGTCAGGAATATATTCCTGAAGGACACAGGGAAGAGCTGGTGACAGCAGCACCCACCAGAGCAGCAGCAGCAGCAGTGCCCACCCTGTGCCAGGCTCCGGGGTCATCCCGGCACACAGGACACACCCACCACGCCAGGGACAATCCAAGGGACACCTGGCACAGGCACAGGGACCTCCTGCATTCCTAACGGGGCACCCACGGGCTGATTCTGGGAGCTGAACACCAGAACTTCAGGGATTTTCTTCAGCCCCAAATGAGCCTTTTCCTGGTGGTTCCCACAAGGAAGTGCACAACAGCAGGGACAGCATTCCTGGGATCACAGTGGCTGGGTCACAGGCAGCCAGAGGAGTGGACACTCCTGAGTCCATGCCAGGACAACAGGGAGGAAAGAGCATTCCCAGGACACTGCCATCATCCCGGATGAGGCTCAGCAAGGCCTGGCCTATATCCCACTGATTTCCATGAGGATTATGCTCCTGAACTGTTCCAGCACACTTGCAAGAAGAAAAGCTATCCCAGGACAGACTGGCCTTGATGGGATCCCAGGAAGGAATCAGAGGAAGTGTTTTTGTGGAGCAGCAGGAGCCCCTGACAGCTCATCCCTCCTGGAAACCACAGAGCAGCAACTGGACAGGGAAATACCTGGGAGCCCGAGCCTTCCTCCATGCCAGCAGTGCTCCCTGCTCTTTTCCATGGATCCAGGCACTCCAGCACCACCACAGTGACCCTGCCAGCGCTCAGCTGCCTAAGGCAGGATGGATCTGCTTCCTCCTGGCTCCCTCCCACCCCACCAGGATCCACCCGAGCCACGAGGGAGGGAGGGAGGGTGAGGAGATGGGGATGGTGAACAAAAGAAGCAGAGAGCAAAGCATGGAATAAGGAAAGCCTGGAGTGCAGGAGGAGCAGGGGAGGAGCAGGAGCAGGATGGAGAACAAACACCTGTTTTTCCCCAGCCCTGCAGCCCGTGAGGGATTCCTCTGGGTGTTCCCGCTCGGGTCCAGCCCGGCACGGCCCAGGAGCTGCCCCGGGTGTGCTGCAGCAGGCACAGAGCCCTGGCTGCCTCACCCCTCCGTGTCTGGCTCTCGGAGCACCCCTGGCTGCCGGGCTCCGTGTGTGGCACCAGGGACCAAGGCTTTTCTCAAGGCAAAGTCCCAGATTTGCTGTGGGGCTGAGCTTGGCGCAGCCTCAACGCACACCCAGCGGCAGCTTCCTCCCTTCCACCCTGCCAGAGCTGTGAATTACTCATTTCCCTGGATTCCTGACTCTCTCCCTGCCCTGAGCTTTGGCTGCCGCCTCCCTTCCTGCTTGGAGAAGGGCCTGGGCACGGGCATTTGGTGCTCCACTCCCATCTCCATGGGTTTTATCCACCTGAGGCAGGCACTGGCAGCAGAAACCCCTGTGCACACACAGCCCCTCCAGCCCCTCTCCCCCCGGGGACCCCCCGATCCCGCAGCCGCCTCGGCCCGGACCCGCTCTGACCTTATTGGCGCCGGATCCTCTGAAGCCAATTGCAAAAGAGAAGCAGAGAGTGAGGAGTTGAGGGAGAGGCTCCCTGCCAGGATAACCCCAGCAGGACTCCGGAGACAGCCATCCCCAGCCTCGCTCCTCGGGGGCAGCTCCTTGGAGATGTTTCTCCTGCGAGCTCTGCCCAGCCTTGGCTCTGCTGGACGTGGGAGAGGCTAAAGAGCTCCAGCAGCCCCCACTGCCAGGGTGGCACATTCCTCCCACCAAGGGAGCCAGGGCTCTGCTCTGCTCCTTGCAGTGACTCCCTGAAGGCCTTTCTGAGGCTCCCCACTGCGCTGCCTGCCTCCCCGGAGGCTGAGGGATGGAAGGAAAGGCCTCCAGGAGCGGGGGTCTCAAGGAGGGGCAGCAATCCATCGGCCCGGCAGCGGCGCGTTTAGGGACGCATCAAAGCAGGGTGTGCTAGTGATGCAGCTGGATAAAACAATTATCAGCACGCCACAAACCCACAGCCTCGGGCACCCAACTCCTCATTTCTGCTGCTGGGCTGAGCAGGGATGAAGAGGTGAGCTGGGGGAGCTGCCTGCTGAGGTGCAGCTGGAGCACGTCCCGGCTGGGAGGGTCTGACTCCATCCCTTCCCCTGCATCAGCAGCCAGGCTTTCCCACGGGAGCAGGGACAGGACACTCCTGCTGGCACCCACTGGTGACCAGATGGGCTCTGACCAGGGCAGGCCCCATTTATTCCCTCCTCTGGCACCATCTCCTTCCCTTCCTGGGGTCCCCACACTGGATTCCATTTCCCTCTGCTACTCTCAGGGGGTCTGCAGGGACTCAGGCTTTGTCCTGGGCAGGAATTCACGGGCCTCAGTGTAAATAAATCACATTTAAACAGCTGTTTTGGACACAGGACATGAGCCCCAGGCTGCCAGGATGAGCCCTCCCTCCTGCAGAGTCAGGGAGGCAAAGGAAGCAGGGACCAGCAGCATTCCCAGCTTTTACCAGTCCAATTGGGACAGCTGCAATTGAGCTCCCACTGGTAGGAGTTAATTAATTACACTGCTTCTCATCATCCCCAACCAACCATTACTGAATTAACTGAGATGCTGCTCTTTAATTCTCCACTGTGGAGCAGGTGCAGGAATTTCTCCCTCGGTATTCCAGACTCCAGAACATGCCTGGGGCTGCTCAGCTTGGAGACACGCGGGGCAGGGAGGGGGTGCAACATCCAAACCAGAGACTGTGAACAAGGCCAGGAGAGATCCCAGCACCTGAGGGCAGAGGGACCCACAGGTGAGGGGATAATGGGACATCGTGCTGGGATGGGTGAAGATGTGGTGACTGGGAATGTTTCCCTGCCTGGAGAAATGATGGTGGAAGGACATTTCCCCTCTCCTCTGCCTGACCCAGAGACTTCCAGCCTTCTCCCAGCAGTCTGCTCCCCAGTACCGAGGATCAGCAGATGGGTTTTAATTTTGCCATGGAGAAAGCATGGAACAGAGATGGAATGACCTGGCAGGGACAGGATTCCCTGGTCCATCACAGCCTTCCCACTGCCTGCATGGAGTGCCTGGGACAGCTGAGGCCACGAGCTCAGATCCCAGTGCTCCAGAGGGATCCCACAGGGACACAGCACCTTGGGGCTGGCTGCACCCCTGACCCCGTGGCACCAGGACGTGTGGGATGTCACTTGGGTGACAGCCACCCCAGGAGCCTGATCCCGTGCTTGGGACACACAGCATTCCTGTCAGGCTGGCAGGGCCCCCTTGGAGCACCAGGCAGGATTCCTGCTCCTCCCTGTCCCCAGCACCATGACCTGGGACAGCTCTGGCATTGAGGGACGGAGGATAACCAGTGCCCAGGATGTACCAAGGAGCCAGCTGAAAGGGACCAAGCTAAAGCCAACAAAAGCAGCTCCAACTCCCTCCTCAGACATTCCCTAGCCAAAACACCCCCATTCCTCATCCCTACCAGAGCAGAGGCAGAGTCACTCTGGAACACACTCCTGAACTGCCACTCTAGCACCTCTGAAAACCATCCCAGATTTCTCCAGCTGCTACCTTGTAGTCCCCACCCGTCCTGTTCCCTTTGCAATTCACTTGTGAGGACCCCAGGGAGGTCCAGGCTTGGTGATCAGTTCTGTTACCTCCTCACATCCCCTTGTTGAGGGAATAGCGAGCACCTGGGAATTCTCATTTGCTCAGCTGCAGTAAAACAACAGCAGAGCACCTTGGGAGCTCGTTGACGTGGGGATGGCCCACGGAATCCTCCTTAGAGGCTCCAGCGGCTCGGGAGAGCAGCGGAAGGAACAAAAGTGGATAAATCACGGAACAAAGGCCCAAAAGAAAAGGGCAGGAGGAAGGTGAGAGAGAGAGCACCCCAGCAAGCATCAGCTCTGAGGCACGGCAGGCAGGAGGCAGCTAGAAAAGAAACAGCAATATACCCAAAGCTCCCAGTGCGACAGCGAACTCCAGAGGTGACATCAGGAGGGGGCAGGTCGGGGATGGAATCCATCTGGAGGAAATAAGAGGTGGTGTGATGGTAATAGATAGGGTGGACATGGCAAGCAGGAGCAGGTGCGGTGGTGGTGGATGAGGAGCAGGAGGTGGAGGAGGTGGAGGCAGGCGATGGGCTGGAGCCGGGCAGGTCGGAGCTGAAGGACTGTCCGGAGGTGAGGCTGTGCATTCGGCGCAGGGACGCTCGGCCCGCCCGCAGCGGGGCCACGGGGCCTGCCTCGGGCTGCCCCGGCACGAGACTCTCTACCAACCTCTGCGATCCGTGGCCGTGCTGCGGCTCCACCAGGCGCTGCCGGACTGTGCTGGGCAAGGCCGGAGCTGCAACGACACACGGGGACAGTGAGGGCACGGCCCGGCCTGCAGAGCTCCGCCAGAGAGTGAGGGCTCGGCTCAGCCTGTGGAGCTCCGCCGGCAGAGAGCGAGGGCTCAGCCCACGGAGCTCTGCCAACAGAGAGCAAGGGCCCGGCCTGGCCCGCGGAGCTCCACCGGCAGAGAGTGAGGGCTCGGCCTGGCGCGCGGAGCTCCGCCGGCAGAGCGAGGGCTCAGCCCACGGAGGTCTGCCAACAGAGAGCAAGGGTTCGGCTCAAGACTCTCTACCAACCTCTGCGATCCGTGGCCGTGCTGCGGCTCCACCAGGCGCTGCCGGACTGTGCTGGGCAAGGCCGGAGCTGCAACGACACACGGGGGACAGTGAGGGCACGGCCCGGCCTGCAGAGCTCCGCCAGAGAGTGAGGGCTCGGCTCAGCCTGTGGAGCTCCGCCGGCAGGGAGTGAGGGCTCAGCCTGTGGAGCTCCGCCGGCGGAGAGCGAGGGCTCGGCCTGGCCCGTGGAGCTCCGCCGGCAGGGAGTGAGGGCTCAGCCTGTGGAGCTCCGCCGGCAGAGAGCGAGGGCTCAGCCCATGGAGCTCCACCGGCAGAGAGTGAGGGCTCGGCCTGGCGCGCGGAGCTCCGCCGGCAGTGCGAGGGCTCAGCCCACGGAGCTCTGCCAACAGAGAGCAAGGGCTCGGCTCAGCCTGCGGAGCTCCACCAGAGTGAGGGCTCGGCTCGGCCTGCGGAGCTCTGCCAACAGAGAGCAAGGGCTCGGCCTGGCCTGCAGAGCTCCGCCAGCAGAGAGTGTGAGGGCACGGCCTGGCCCGTGGAGCTCCGCCAGCACTGGCACTGGCCCACTGGCACCATGAGAGCAGCACCACCCCACTGGCACCATCCCCGTCCCCTGGCACCACCACAGCAGCACCAGCCCGCTGGCACCGTCCCACCATCCCAGTCCCACTGACACCATCCCAGCAGCACCGTCCCGCTGTCCCTGTGCCACCAGCACTGTGCCACCTCGTGCCAGCAGTTAAGGCCTGTTTAATGCAGAAGCAGCTTTAAGCTGGTGCTGAACATGCTGGATTAATGCCCAGCCCATGGAAAACTCCAACACTGCTGATGTAGGTGCCTCTGAACACCTTATCTGAGCATCTTGCCTGACGCAGACAGCCGTGATTCATCCCACCCGGAGCCACCACCCGGCTCCGGGAGAGCAAAGAACTGGGCACTTCCAGGGCCATTCCACCCTCACAGACACCTCATGGCCCCAGTCCTGCTGCCTGGGTGGGACCTGCACAGCCCAAAGCAGGAGCCCCAGCTGAGCAGGTCACTGTTGGCACCTGAAGCTCCACTCCCAGAGCTCGGCTCTGCTCGCTTCATTGTGCAGGGGCAGCACCAGGAGCAGAGCCCTGGCAGCATGGAATCATACAGGGATTGGGTTGGGAGGCACCTTAAAGATCATCTCTTCCCAGCCCTGCCATGGCAGGGACACCTTCCCCTGTGCCAGGCTGCTCCAGCCCCAGTGTCCAGCCTGGCCTTGGGCACTGCCAGGGATCCAGGGCCAGTTCTCTGGCTGGTTGAATATACTGGGGTTGAGGATGTTGGGCAGGAATTGTTCCCTGGCAGGGTGGGCAGGCCCTGGCACAGGGTGCCCAGAGCAGCTGGGGCTGCCCTGGATCCCTGGCAGTGCCCAAGGCCAGGCTGGACACTGGGGCTGGAGCAGCCTGGCACAGGGGAAGGTGTCCCTGCCCTGGCAGGGGTGGGATGGGATGAGTTTAGGGGCGCTCCCAGCCCAGACTTCCTGGGATTCATGCCTGATTCCTCCATGCCTGAACTGGTGACTCTGGCCCCAGTGGCCTCACCTGCTCCCAGCCTGTCCCGTGACCACTGTGACTGATCAGAGACCCTCAAGAGAAATATTCTCCTCTGGTTGCCAATTCCCCTTGGTTTGGGGAACCACATGGGAATGTCCTTTGGAGTCCCAGCACCAGTTCCTGAACTGCCTTCAAAGCTCCCCAGGATCTCTCCAGCCCTGTGGTCACACCTGGCTGGAAGAGGAGCCCAGCACCCCCTGAGCAGCTGCCTGCACCCCACATCTGCCCCCAGGGTCACCCCCAGAGCCAGGGGAGGCCCCTTCACCTGCTTGGAGCCTTGGGAATGCTCCCCTCCCTCATGGAAAGCGGGATCCCAGGGCTGCAGCCCCGTCCCCAGCCAGCCAGGCTGGCTTTATTCCTTCCCCTTGCTGCCATTCCACACAAGATGATCCTCCTTTGGCAGGAGATAAGGTGTTCAGGATTGCTCAGGATTTCTTATGTGCACAAGAAATTAATGTACAAATGGGTTAAAAAGATGCAGAGACAGGAAAGCTCAGAAATGAAGGAGGAGGAGAGCTCCTTTGGGAATGGAAGAACCAGCAATCCCTGCTCTGGAAAATCCCAGCTGGACACAGAGAGCTCCTCTGGCAGAACGCCTTGGGACTGAAAGATCCACAAGGACATGTTTCCAGTGGAAGAAGGAATAAGAAGGAATAATTCTGGCAACTTGGCTGTTTCCACAGCCCCAAGGTGAATCCCAGTCTTTCCCACTGCTCCTTGCTCCCTACAGTGCCCATCCATGAACTTGGAATTTTACACCATTGCAAGATTTTTTTTATTCAGCTCCAGAGCTGCAATTCCAATTTGGGAATCTCATTGTGGAGGTTCACAGGGATCTGACTGCAGAGTAACTCACTGGGGTGATGGGTTTCTGCTACAGGTTTCTTCTTCCCTTGGGTCAAGCTTTTTTCCCTAAGATTACCCATTTTTTCCTGGTGTTCCACCCTTCATTTCCCAACTCAGTACTTCCCACCTTCGTGCTCTCCCTCTCCAAGACTTACTTCAGAGCAATGAGCTCTGGAGCAGAGGCTGGCACCTTGCTTCCCAGACCCTTCACTTCCCTCCAGACATGTCTTACCACCATTGCCCAAACTCCCTGCCCAAGGAAAAGCCCTCCCTGCCCGAGGCTGGCACATCCAGCTGCTCTGTCCCACAGCAGACGGGGCTCGGCCACGCTCCAAGGGGGAGGCTTCCAAAGGAAGCCAAGGCCTGCAGGCTGTGTGCCATCCCCAGGGACAGGTTTCCCTAAGGGTGGCACTGCTCAGGTTATTTAGGGATTCTGTGGGAACACGGCACCAGCAGCACCTGTGGGTGAGGGATGGGGCAGCAGGGAAGGAGGTGGGATGGGACAGGGAATGCTGTCACCTCTCCTGGCTTCACTGGGTCCTTCATCTCCACCTCAGGGGTAAAATGGAGTGAGTCCAACCCCCCAGATTCCCTAACTGCCCCCAGGAGCACGTGGGAGCTGCAGCTGAGATTCTTCTTCATCCCACCAGACTCTTCCCGGGGTTAGTGCAGGTGGCCATGGCTCAGTGAGGACAGATACATTCATTAGTTCCCGTGCCAGAAAGATGGAAAATTGGTGGATGTATTTTAGTCCAGAAAAAGGCCAGAGGGCAGAATAAAAAAAATGAAAATAAAATTGAAGAGAACCAAACCAGGGTATTTCCAGAGGGACTGATCCTCCGAGGACAGCGAGGAGCGGTCGCTGAACCTGCGCCCGAAAAGCCAGGCTGCATCTGGGGGGGCAGCCAGGTGGGAACAGGAGAGAGAGAGATGGGATTTACTGGGAGAAGCACCACGGGTCCTCAGCAACACCCTAGGGCAGGAGAAACTCGGCACTGCTCTCCTGAGGCGGGGTTTGCACACAAAGGAAGAAAGTCCTACAGGGAAAGGCTGCCTTGCTTTGGGAATTGGAGTGCCCAGTGCTTGCTAGAGGTGGATCACCTGCAGGGAGGAGGTGGGCAGGAGGGTGGGCAGGAGGGTGGGCAGGCTCTCTGCCCAGCCCTGGGATGATGGAACTGGAAGTGCTCCCTGGAAATGTCTCACTCGAGGTGTCCCAGTGCCAAGGAGCTGAGGCTGAAGTCGGGGCTGGAGGCTCACACCTGGGCCAGCTCAGGTCCTCAGGTGTCACCTGGGACTGTCCAAGCATCCCTGCCATCAGTGCCCAGCTGGGGCTGGGCCAGGCCTTTATCAGAGATGTCCAGCCTGATTCTGAGGGCGACTGGTAATGACAAGGAGCAGGATGTCTCCATTCTCTGAAGCTTTAATGTCCCCAAGCACAGCTGATCCCACAAAGTGTGGCTCCAGCCCCCATGTCTGCAGAGCCCTGGGAACACACAGGTACCCCCGTTCCTCCTGCACTGCCCAAAGCCTCCAAGCCCTGCCTCCCCCTGGCCCCTGCCCTGAGCCCCCCTCAGGGGGGCCGAGGGGAGGTGGGCCTGGCACACAGGGCACCTCCTGCAGCACACAGTGCCAGCCCTGGGACCCTTCTGCTCCCCCAGACTGCCCTGGCTTGGATTAAACTGTCCAGAGCAGCTGGGGCTGCCCCTGGATCCCTGGCAGTGCCCAAGGCCAGGGGCTTGAAGCAGCCTGGCACAGGGGAAGGTGTCCCTGCCATGGCAGGGTGACACTGGGTGGGCTGTGAGGTCCTTCCAAGCCAATCCACTCTGTGATTCCATGATTCCATGGATCAGGGTGCTGTGCCCTGCCAGCTGCTGCTGCTGTGCCCCCAGGCCCTGTCCCTTCCCTTCAGCTCTCTCAGTCTCTGGTGCAACACCCAAGGGGAAACTGTTTGGAAAATGAAAATGCCCTTTGGGAGAAGCAAGGCAGGACCTGGGCCAGCTGCAGGCAGGAACAGCAGCCAGGGCTGGCTCCCAGCTGCTGCAGAGAAGGTGACAGTGTCACCCAGCCCTGTGATACTAATTCCAGCAGCTGGGGGGTCACAGGCACAGGGTGATCCATGCTCAGCCCTCCCTCTGTGGGCTCTGGGCTTGGCAGAGCAGGGACAGCCGCCCTGGAGTGATGCTCCTGTCACCAACAAAGAGGGACAGGAGGGTCCCCCTGGCTGAGGCCAAGCCCTGCACAGAGCTGGGAACTGGGGCAGCCTCTGCTCCAGGGAGTGTTTAACAGGTCCCTGGGGCTGGAGAGTGCTGCTCCCACCCGGAATGCTGCAGGAAGCAGGTCCAGCTGTGCCTCAGGAGGGGGCAGCTTTGAGTCCTTTAAATCCCAAAAAGGTGCTCAGGCCAAGGGGACATTGGGATAATCCCTTTTCCTGTCCCACTGCCATGTCCACCCGTGCCTTTGGTTGGGGTTTTTGGTAAATGCTTAAATCGCTGAGCTGAGCAGAAGAGCACAGATAGAATGAAATGATGATTAACAATTCCTAAAGTACCAGTCATGCTGGAATTACCAGGCTCCAAACAAGCCCAGCAGAGGGGCCTGGCCTGTTAGGGATGCTCCTGACCCTGACGGACCAGCTCTGGTCTTTGGGCATGGAAACCTCAACTTGGATCAATTATTCCCTGCTGACACAGGTGAACTACAGATCCAGCTCTGCTCTGTGCCACAGCCCCCAACCCCAGCAGACACAGCCCCCGTTCCCAGGGAGCCTCTTATTCCCAGGAAGCCCCCAGAGCCCCATTCCCAGGGGGCTTCCAGAGCCCCTATTCCCAGGGAGCTTCTCCATTCCCAGGGAGCTCCTCCATCCCCAGGGAGCCCGCCATTGCCCCATTCCCAGGGAGCCCCCATTCCCAGGGAGTTCCCCCATTCCCAGGGATCCCCTGTTCCCAGGGACCCCCCGTTCCCAGGGAGTTCCCCCATTCCCACAGAGCCCCCGTTCCCAGGGACCCCCCGTTCCCAGGGAGTTCCCCCATTCCCAGGGACCCCCCATTCCCAGGGAGTTCCCCCATTCCCAGGGACCCCCTGTTCCCAGGGACCCCCCGTTCCCAGGGAGTTCCCCCATTAATATATTAAAATATATATAATATGTAATATATGTATTAATTATATTATATAATATATTAATATATATTATATATTAAAATATATATAATATATTTCTATATATATAGATATATAGATATAAAAATATAAACTTATCTTCTAATATAATATAAAATTATATTCTCTTATAATATAAAATATTAAAGTATAAAAATATCTAAATATAATACTAAATAGTATTAAAATATGAATACAGATATTAAATATCATAAATATTAAATATTAATTATATTTTAAAAAACCCTGTTGGAATGTTAAAATGTTCCCAGTCAAATGTTTATATAATATATTATATAAATATAAAATAAATAATCATAAAATATATAAGCAAATAGAATAACATAAATATAGCAAATAAATACTAAATAGCGAAATAATATGGAATTAATAGAAATATTAAATATTTTAATAAATGGAAATATTAACTATATGGTATGTTATGTATATATTAAAATATAAATAATAAATAAATATAAATAAAAATTATATAAAATTATATATAAATATTAAATAAGTGATATATTATAAATAAATGTTAAAATGTATAATTATATATAAATATAAAATTTTAAAATAGAAGCATGTAATATATATAATTTAATTATATGAATCTGTCTAATCACTCAGAATCTATTTACAAAAACATCTCAATGAAAGTGTATCAAAAATCAAAGCTGATAATAAAATTGTTAAATAGTTGATTTAATAATTAAAATTTAACAAATGAATTTATACATTTTAGTCATAATAGTTGTACTACTGTACAACTATTATAGTTGTACTACTAGTTGTACTATAGTTGTACTACTAATCTTAGTACCTTAGTACTTAACCTTAGTACCTTGTTTACTCCAATACCTTCAACAAATAATTAACAAAACTATTAAAAAAGTCTGCATAGTTTAAAGAGGAGGGGGACATGTCAGGGTCAGCTGGGGTCAGCTGTGCATCCTGAAATTTGAGACACTTTTGATTCCAGTTCCAGGAATCCAGCAATTAAGAAATGCAGCAGCAGCTGAAGTATCCAGGGATAACAAGAAGGGGGAATGGCTGCCAGTGCCAGAGGGCAGGGCTGGGTGGGATCTGGGCAATGAGGAATTGTTCCCTGGCAGGGTGGGCAGGGGCTGGGATGGAATTGCCAGAGCAGCTGGGGCTGCCCCTGGATCCCTGGCAGTGCCCAAGGCCAGGCTGGACACTGGGGCTGGAGCAGCCTGGCACAGGGGAAGGTGTCCCTGCCATGGCAGGGTGGCACTGGCTGGGATTTGGGGTCCCTCCAACCCAAACCATTCCATGGCAATCCCTTAAACATCCTGCAGCCTCCTGGAACCTCATTTTGGCAGGACTCCTAATTGCTCCATGTCACTGATCCCGTTTCTCACAGGTAAAATCAGGTTATTGATGGGGAGGAGCAAGTCCACCCCCAGGTCACTGAGGACAACAGAAGTTCAGCAAAAGGAGCCCCAGAGCCCCTGCAGGGGTGGGGACACTCCTGCCCGGGACAGGGGAGGGAGAAGAGGGAGGTGTGGGGCAGACACTCACTTTGCAGTTAAGATTTTGTGATCCACATCATCCAGAGAGGAACTGTGAGCCACGTGGAACGTCCCAAAAAGGGTGTTTCGCTTCTTTTTGATCTTTTCAGCCTGCAATATCAACAGAGAACGGTCAGAGGAAGAAGAGAACCTGAAGTTTCCTCCAGGCCATGGACATCCTGGATGGCTGAGACAGGAATAGTCCCTGCAGCTGCCTGCACATGTGGGAATAGTGGGAATGGTGCTGTGACTGAGGAATGTTCTCCCTGATCCTGGGTGAGGAAATCCCCAGCAGCAAGCAGCAGGTTGGGGCTTTCACGCTCCCTTCTCCCAGTTTCCCAAAAATCAGAGGGAAGGCTGAACTTTCAGGGCAGAGCTAGAGTCCCCATCCCTGGAGGGATCCCACAGCCCTGTGGGATGTGGCACCTGGGGACACGGGGCAGTGGTGGCCTTGGCACTGCTTGGGGAATAGGTGGACTTGAAGGTCTCTGAGGGTACCTGGAACCCAAACCATTCCATGATTCCATGAACCAGGTACCTCGCTCAGTGAAGGGCTCTCACACATTGGCTCATTCCTCCCGTGAATAACCACCAAACCCTTTTGGTTTTAGGTTGAGTTTGTGCCATTGTATCAAAAATTAAAGTCTCCTCCCACAGCTCTTCCATTCCCAGCTCCAGTGCATGAACCTGGGACTTAGGAGAGCCAAGGATGTGGGTGCAAGAACTGACACAGCCAAAAGAAAACTGTTGGAATGTTAAAATGTTCCCAGCCAAAGCAGATTAAGGCACAGTTTTCCCTCCTGCCAGCTCTGCTCCATATGGCCATGGGGACAGGGACGAGTCACAACAGCTCCCTGGGCTGATCCCTCAGGGCTGGCACATGAAATCCCGGATCAGGAATGCAGTGATGACTCAGGACCTCGGGATCCCACTGCCTGTGCACGCTCATCACCTGCAGCAGGGAGGGTGCTGAGAGGTGCAAAGCCCCCTGCTCACCCAGCACCCAGGGTGGGACCTGCCTCAGGAGCACCATCCTCATCCTCATGCTCAGCCCCTGCTCACACCTCTATAGTGCTGCACTTCTACAAGATGCAAATTTAAGGCATGAAGAGAGGAACTGCCCTTGAGCTGAGGGAGGGCAGGGCTGGATGGGATCTGGGCAATGAGGAATTGTTCCCTGGCAGGGTGGGCAGGGGCTGGGATGGAATTCCCAGAGCAGCTGGGGCTGCCCCTGGATCCCTGGCAGTGCCCAAGGCCAGGCTGGACACTGGGGCTGGAGCAGCCTGGGATAAAATCAAAGGCGTCCCTGCCCACAGAATGAGATGAACTTTGAGGTCCTTCCCAACCCAAGGCACTCTGGGATTCCACGATGCCACAAAGCCAAGGAGATGCAGAGAAACCAGCTCTGCAGGCTTCAGCCCCCAGACCCCCCCGGGGACCCAGCTCGAGGCCGCTGCAGCTCTCACCCCCTCCTTGGCCACCAGCAGCTGCTTCTCTGCGTTCTGCTTCTTGATGTTGTAGTACTGCACCTCCACCTCGTGGGTCAGCTGCAGCCACTTCTGCAGGGCCTCGGGGGCAGCCCAGCTGCAGTGGGACTCCAGCTCCTTCTCCGCGTTCTTCAGCGCCATCCGCACCTGGGGAGAGGCCACACCGTGGAGCGGCCGTGGGGACACGGCCCTCCCACAGCTCATCCCCTCTGCTGCCAAGCCCCTTCCCAGGCAGCTTCACCAGTCCTGGAGGCTGGAAACTGCTCTGGAGGAGAGGCGGCATCCTGAGGAGCCAGCCGCACGGCAGGCTGCTGCTCCGAGCACAGATCCTCCCACGGGCCGTTCCTGCCACCCCACAGCCCAGCTCCTTCCCCAGAAATCCCAGCCAGCACCGTGCTGAGCTCCCTCCCGACCCCACGAGCCACAGGAAAACCCTCTGGAGCCGATGGCACGGTGCACGAGGCGGTGCAAAGGGAATTGGGCTCGCAGAGAGGATGCTCTGGGGTTTTCTGCAGCCTCTGGAAACCTCTGCAGAGCTTGCTGCCTGTCTGTAAATCCCCCAGAGCCCCTGACAGGCAATCCCTGCCTCACCACAGCTCCCAGCCAAGCCCAGGGAGCTCGTCAGGAGACAACTTCCACACTGGAGAAAGTGAGAAAAATATTTAGACACAAAACATGTGCTGCTGGTCAGGAAAAGAAACAGCCTGGCTGGATCAGCCACTCCTGGGGTGTCTCCTTCCAGGCTCCTGCACACCCTGACACCCCACGGAGACAAAGGTTAGAAGGGACTGGCTGAGAAGCCAGTGGAGGACACTGCAGCCTCACAGAAAAGCCTTTAGTGGTGTAGACCACCAGGAATGAACTCGTCTGCTGCAGTGCCCACCCTGTGCAGAGGCTCTCACAGCCTGGCAAGCCCTGCAGGAAGGGAAGGTGCTCCAGCCTGGAGCAGCAGCAGGATGGCACCCCAATCCCAGGACACGCTCAGGGATGGGGCACTGTGCCACCAGAGCACCCTGGGGCTCGGGGGCTGTGGCCTCAGGCTGCACAGCAGCTTTGCCTCCCACCCACAGAGCTGCCCTGCTCCTGCAGCTGCAGCCCACGGGCACGGCCCCAGCCTGGCGGCGGTGGGCGGATGCAGAGCAGTGTTTTTGTGCAGGATTGCTCACACTCGGAGCTTTTCCCTGGGTGGGTTCTTCTGTAACTCAGGCATGTCTCACCCAGCCCAGCCCGGGGGGTTTCAGGGAGCCAAGAGCCCCGGGGTACAGGCAGATCTCTGAAATTCCCTGTTCCAAGGAACCTGCCTGGCTCGTGCAGGTCTGGCTCCAGTCTCAGTTTAAACTGATCTGTAACTTGCAGCCAGGTGAGAACCGTCCCTCAGGTGAGATAGGAAGCAGCTACTGGGATTGTGGGTTTGGACTTCTTGTAGGTTTGGGAAGGTTAAGGTTGGATACTGGGAAAATTTCCTTATGGACAGGGTTGTCCAGCCGTGGCACAGGCTGCCCAGGGCAACGCTGGAGTCACATCCAGGCAGGGATTTCACAGGATGTGGCAACTGGGGACATGGTCAGTGGTGGCCTTGGCCAGGCTGGGGAATGGCTGGGCTGGATGCTCCAACCCTTACACACCCCTCTGATCCACGAGAAAACATGGAAAGCATAACTGAACTCATTCTAAATCTGTCCTAAAACCATAAACACAAATCAAGAGAGACTGCATGGACAGGGGAGGGAGTCAGAAATCCCAGAGGGTGCAGCTCCAGGGCAAGTCCAAGCCCTCTGCTCCTGCTGGGATGTCACAAGGTGCCAGCACCCGCCCTGTCCAGCACCACAGCAGTGACTGGGATGTGTAATGGGCACTATGGAAAAGAGACTCAGGGCTTTTCCTCCACAAAGGGCAGTGGGAAACCAAAGGCAGAAGAGCAGCAGCATCACTGGATTCAGGGGGGTGAAGAGCAGTGAGGACTGGTGTCCCTCAGGAGTCAGGACTGGCACTGGGAATGTCTTTGCTGGTGACAGGGACACGGGGATCCAGGGCAGCCCCATCCTGGCAGTGACACAGAGCTGGTGCTGTGGGCACTCACTGCAGGGAAGGGATGGGGCACCCAGAGGCAGTTCTGGGTCTGTCCCAGCTCCCCGTGCCAGCACAGCCAGGACTCCAGCATGTGCCAGCACTTTGTGGAGAGCAGTGAGGAGAGCCTTCCTCAGAGGCCAGGGCTGGGACCAGCGCTGGGAACCATCAGCAGGGACAGGGACCAGGGCAGGGACAGGGACCAGGGCAGGGACAGGGATCCAGGGCAGGGACAGGGATCCAGGGCAGGGACAGGGATCCAGGGCAGGGACAGGGATCCAGGGCAGGGACAGGGATCCAGGGCAGGGACAGGGACAGGGCAGGGACAGGGATCCAGGGCAGGGACAGGGACCAGGGCAGGGACAGGGATTCAGGGCAGGGACAGGGACCAGGGCAGGGACAGGGATCCAGGGCAGGGACAGGGATCCAGGGCAGGGACACGGAGCTGGTGCTGTGGGCACTCACTGCAGGGAAGGGATGGGGCACCCAGAGGCACCTGGGCAGGCTGCAGAGCTGGGACTGTGCCAGCCTCTGCAGCCCAGCAGGACCAAGGGCAGGGCCTGCACCTGGCTCGGGGCAATCCCAGCACAAACACAGCCTGGGGAGAATGGACTGGGAGCAGCCCTGGGGACAGGGAGCTGGGATTGCTGGGAGAAGCTCCACAGGCCCTGGCCACGAGCACTGGGACCTGAAATCCCTGTGCCCTGGGCTGGTCCCACAGTGTGGGCAGCAGGAAAGGGATTGGGATTGTGTCCCTGAGCCCCCACAGGTGAGAGCAGAGCAGCTGGGGCTGCCCCTGGATCCTGGCAGTGCCCAAGGCCAGGCTGGACACTGGGGCTGGAGCAGCCTGGCACAGGGGAAGGTGTCCCTGCCCTGGCAGGGTGGCACTGGGTGGGCTCTGAGGGCCCTCCCAGCGCAGCCACTCTGTGTTTCTGTGATTCCCCCCAGGGGGATGCAGCAGCAGTGCCCTCAGTGCCTCCCCCAGGCGAGGCCTCACCTGCTCCAGCTCCTGCTCGGCGTATTTCTGCCGGCTGAGCTCGTTCTCGGTGCCCTCGCGCAGCTCCCGCAGCCGGTGTGCCTCCTGCTTGGCAATGCTGATCTCGTCCTGCAGCTTCTTCTCCAGGTGCACCTTCTCCACCTCCACGGAGCGGTGCTCCTCCTGCGCCTTCTGCAGCCTGCAACACACACACACACACCAGGGCCAGTGCTGGGCCAGCTCTGCAGGCAGCCAGGACCAGGGCTGCCCTCCAGAAACATCTGTGCTCTGCCCTCCAGAGCCAGCCCTGTGCTCTGCTCTGCTGTGCCCACGGGATGCAGGGAGAGAGTTCACCATGGCTGGGAAGAAAGGAAATTGTCAACTGCTCGGTCTCAGCTTGATTCATTTATCAAATACTCAGGATGCATTTTCATCATTTTGCACAGCACACCCAGATTTTCTCTCAAGGGTCTCAAATTAAGCTCAATTTTCGGTATTTTCATCCAAGTGAAGACTTTGATAAAACAAAGCAGGGGAAGATCTGCCAGAGCATAACAGACCACCCAGACGGGACAGATCCACGTTCCTCCCACAAAATCCTGCAAATTCAGACGTGTCTGAATCCTGCCTGGACGTTCTTATTCCTCCTCATGACAGATTGAATCAGCAGGAGTGTACAGCAGCAACTTGGAATTGTGGCAGCAACAAAAGCCTGGCTCTCCATGGCTCAGTGGGATCTTCCACGAGGAGCTGACCTGTGCTGGGCTCCCAGCAGGGCTGTGAGGCTGGCAGGGCACCAGCCGGGCCAGCGACCCTCGCACAGCACCCGAGTGCCACCTGTGCCAGGGGACACTGCACCCACCTGCAGCTGCCACGGGGGGAAGAGAGCAAGAGCCCCCAGTTGCTCCGGGCAAGCAGGGGGCTCACATTCCAGGAGATTCCATACAACCCACACATCTCCAAAACAGACCTGCCCACTCCTTTCAGGCTTCAGCAGGATGTGCCAAGACTTGATGAGTCACTTAATGGCCCGGGAAGTGTCACTGCTGCGGGGCATTCTCCAAGGTGCTCTGACGATGAATAAAGGCTGGGGTTGTGTAGGAACATTCCCAGCTCCTCAGGAGCATGTCTGAGCTGCTCAGCAAATTCCAGCAGCACTGGCACTGGAGAGGCATCCCGTGCCTTGCAGAGCTCTGCTCAGCACTGAGCCTCACCCAGCCAGCACAGCAGGGCCCTTCAAGCTCTGGAGAAGAAGTCTCTGAGCAGAACTGCAGCACAACTTCTCCACGAGTCCTGGAGCACTGGGGAGTTTTCGCTGTTCCTGTGGCAGCTGAAGATGCCAGCTGGACCCTGCTGGGCAAGGAGGAAGGAACATCTCCCCAAGAGGCCTCCCAAGCCCCCAGCTCACCTCGCAGCCCCTGAGCTCCTGCTGGGTGCCCTCTGCGAGGACGAGCCCCGCCGAGCTGCTCCGGCTTAAGGCTGTGTCCTGGTGGTTTTGTGTTTCTTCCTGAGGGGCTTTAAGAGCATTAGCTGAACTTCCCAGGAACATCCACTTGTTTACGTGGCTCTGCCCTCAGCAGCAGGGCCCAAGGTCGTTCCCCACAGGCACATTCCCAGTTTGGAGCTCGGAGGTGACGCCCAGCCGAGCCCTCCTGCCCCGGACAGCAGAGAGGGGATTCCTGTCTCCTTCCAGATGCAGGAAAAACAAATCCAACTTTCTTTGGGAGTGCTTCCAAGCTGTGACATAAAACTCCACGAGGCTGTGTGGGACCAGCTGTGGTTGGAGCCACAGAGGGGAGTGGATCTGTGCCAGGGGAAGGTGCCCAGCATGGCTCCATCACCTGGGAGCTCGCTCTCCGCAGGGACACCACTTGTGCCACCTCACTGGGGAACAGGAGTCCTGCCAGCAACTCTCAGGGGCAGGGTGAACCCCTGCAGGCTCTAAGGGGCTCCTGGGCAAGAAGTGGGGCTGCAGACCCGGGAATGCACTGCACAGATCCCCAGCACCTGGCTGGCTGCAGGTCTGACATCCTCGGCACCCTGGTGCCTGCACAGGGCACTCACCACACCCCGTGGCTGGCCTGGCATCAAACCCATGTCCACAGAAATCACTGGAAATGCAGCCATCAGCTCACAGGGCAGCCTAGTGAAGGTTTATCCTCCCAAACTCCACTGAAACCTCACAGAAAATCGTTCAAGGCCCACACTATACTGCTCTGTTATTTGCTAAATCTGCCCTTAACATATTCCACTGCCAGAGCATCCCACGGGTTTGTCAGCACCGACCCAGCAGATGACCCATCCCTGTCCCAGAAGATCCTAAGTCCAGAGGCTCTCTTGGAGCATGTTCTCCCATCAGTAGCTCTACTGGAACCAGTGCAGTGATTCCTGGGAGCAGAGACCCCATTCCTGAGGCTGCAGGTTTTGATCCATATGCCAAAAGCCAAGATATTCCTATTTAATACTCCAAAATTATGCATTTTTTTCACTTTCTAAGCAACACCCTTCGACTCAGGTACTGCTTCCCCACACAGCTCCAAGAATTCAAGAGGGGATGTGTAAATCCCTGATTGCTCCCACTGTTCAAACATGCATCTTCCCCACCAAAAGCCAAGGTGAAACAAGCTTGGATGACAAATTCCACGTGAGCTGCCTTGCGTGGCAGGAGTGGGACTGGACAAGCTCCAGTCCCAAAAGCATTCCCTGGTTCTGTGACTGGGAAAGAACAGCCTGTCCAGGAGTCCCTGCAGGAGGAGCCAGGCCCCCATCTGGGCTCCAGAGGCTGCTGGCAGCTTTGCCAGGTCCCCCAGGAAGGAGCTGACTGGTGTGAGGCACCAGGACAGCTAAAACCAATCATTTCCCGAGCTGTGAAGGAACAGAACCGTGCAGGAAGAGCCGAGCGCTCCAGCTGGATGGCCAGTGGGAACCTACCTCTCCTGCAGGTCATGGAGAGACTGCTCAGCCCTGTGGAGACCCTCCAGGTCCTTCATCATCTTCTTCATGTGCTCCTTGGAGTAGCGGTTCTGGATGTAGGCGAACCAGCAGCCGCCCACGCCGATGACGATGGACACCACCAGCATGAAGTCCTTGAGGTGGTTGTGACGGGTCACTGCAAGAGAGCAGACACACTGCTGGGGACAAGGGACCGCCGCAGAATCTCGGGCTCCCTGCGCTCGGGATGAGCCCCAGAGTCCCTTTTTCCCAGCCCCATGGTGGAAGAAGGAGCCGGAATTCCTCGGCTCTGCTTCACAAGGTTGTTTGTTGTCTCTTATCTAAAACATTCTTTTTTGGACCCGCAGAGTTCTGATCTGCAGGTCTGTCAAGGGCACACTGCCCGCCCCCAGGCTGGTGTCTGCATTTTACACTATGAGTTACGTGTACTTTATTTATCATTATGTTCCAATACCTATCACCTATGTTAGACTGTCTGCCTCTACTCTAAACCAGTCCAAATGTGCCAGCATCACCCAGAAGATGGAGGCTGGGAAGAAGAAGGAAGAAGGGCAGGACAATGCCCAAATCCCTCCATCTTGCCTCCTAGACCCCGGTAGTAAAACCCCCAAAATTCCACTTTTCACCTTGTGATAAATTCATTATCAAACTTCTGTGACTTGTGATTCTTCACCCAAGGTTGGTAATTTGCTCCATGGGTTAAGATCAAAATCCCAAGTGTCTCTGGCTTCCTGCCAGGACTCCCCAGCCCCCTGCCAGGGGCTCAGGTCACCCAGGGCACCCAGAGGGGTGTCCTGGGTTCCAACAGGAGAGCTCCAAAGGGCTCTGCCTGCACCAGAGTGGCACAGGAGAACTCAGGGCAGTCTTACAAGGAATTGTGGCACAGGATTCACCAAGGGAAAAGTTGAGCTGTGTCAATATTTAAGGGGGAAACCAGAAGCTTGACAACATTTATTCAATTTGGAGACATAAGAACAACAAAAAAGATGAAATTCCAAAGCTTCCAGCTCCAATTTGCCTGGCAATAAGTGGTACAGGGGAAGCTGCACAGAGGAACCCCTCCAGAACGGCTGTGATCTCACAGGGCAGCACAGGTAACTAAGAACAAAATAAACACTTGGAAAAACACTGCTGAGCTCACAGAGCTGGGGCAGCTCAAGTGTCCAACTGTCAAGTTGCCAAACTTTCCATCAGAATCACAACTCACTGTGGAAATTCCCTTTTTCAACAGTTAATTCAAAAAAGGTGTTGATGCATGTGAGAGGATGAAAGTAATTACTGGGGGCTCAAGTGCTAAACAAAGCCCAAAAAGATGAGTCAAGCAGATTTTTTTTCCTGTAACTCAACCAAATGTGTGCTGGAAAAGCCACAAATAAAAGAGCAGCTCAGTCTAGTGAGCTGGGACGTAGCGATCAGCATCCACTGGTTTTGAATCAAACATCAGGCAATTCACACCAGATACAGGGAAAAAATACCTGTACTGAGGGGGCAGGCCCTGGCACAGGGTGCCCAGAGGAGCTGTGGCTCTGAGGGTGTCCCTGCCATGCAGGGGGGGGTCAGACAGGAGCTGAACCACATCTGTCACACTGGCAGAGCTGGGGGGACACAGGAGGGGAGCTGGGAGGTGGAAACCCAAACTGGGAAGGCAGAGCACAGCACGGACTGACCTGGATGGACACAGGGGGACAGGGCTGCTGCTCCCTGCCCACGGAGCAGAGGCTTCCCCTGGAGGGAGAGGGACAGGACCCCTCCCCAGGGCCCAGCAGACAGGCAAGCACCCTCTCCCCCAGCACCTGGGATCCATCCCTCCCTGCAAACAGCCAGAGTGACTCCAACCCTCAGAGCTAAACAAGGAGAGCGCTGGCCGCGCTCCGCTCCGGATGGATTGGCACAACATCCTCTTCCGAGGAGCACATCCTGGCAAGTGCCTGCACATCCCTCAGCCTCAAACCTTGCAGCTCCCATCTGGAGAGCAGCAGGCTGACGTGTTCAGGGCGTTGCACCCTCCCACAGCCCTGCTCTCCTGCCCCCTGGGCCATTCCCTGCCAGCCCCACCTGCCCAGGTCCCTGTCCTGCCCCTGGTGCCAGCTGTGCTCAGCTCCAGCTGGGAGTCCAGCACTGCACACATCCCTCCCCTGCACCAGCACTGGCCAAAGACACGGGCATGAGGAAAATGAGGAAAACTCAGCTTGGATGGAAATGTAGAAGCATGGAATGCCAGGATGGTTTGGGTGGGAAGGGACCTTAAATCCCACCCAGTGCCACCCTGCCATGGCAGGGACACCTTCCCCTGTGCCAGGCTGCTCCAGCCCCAGTGTCCAGCCTGGCCTTGGGCACTGCCAGGGATCCAGGGGCAGCCCCAGCTGCTCTGGGAATTCCATCCCAGCCCCTGCCCACTCTGCCAGGGAACAATTCCTCATTGCCCAGATCCCATCCAGCCCTGCCCTCTGGCAGTAGGAAGTCATTCCCCCTTGGCCTGGCCCCACAGAACGGAGCCCCTCCAGCCCTGGAGCATCTCCATTTTCTCACCTTCACTGCAGATGCTTTTTTCTGGTATTTACACCAAATCAACCCTCCTGCAGCTCCAGACCTCCCCCCTTGTTCAATCATTTCACTTCTTTCAAACACCAAGCCCAGGCAGAGCTGCAAACCCAGCAGGACATCAAGTCCTGCAGTTGAGCAGAACAATCAGTCTGTGATAAAACTGTGCCTGTTCTCCCTCCTTTATGAAAAAAAAAGAAAGGAAATGAGAAAGGCAGAGAAGTCTGTTTTCCATGGTGCACGTGGCTCTTCCTGCAGGCTTTGCAGGTGCAAGGTGAGCTCAGGTCTGCCTGCTGCTGGGAGCAGCCACGGCCACACGGGTGCAGAACAGGCTGTGCCAGCTCTGCTGTGGGCCAGGGACAAATCCAGAGGGATTTAAATCACAATGACTGCACAGGAACAACCTGAGGCTCTGCTGTGGAACGGCCAGGGTGCCCTGCTCTGTGGCCCAGGGCACAGGAGCAGTACCCAAACCATCTTGGGATTCCATGTTTCACCTGAAGCTGTGCTATTTGGTGCCAGATAAATTCCAAGACCACAGGAACAGGGCCCCAAAGGGACAGACACAGAAGAAGGAATCACCTTATCTTGCTTAGACTACAATTCTACCACGCTCCCTTGCACTTGGAGTAATTACAGAGCTGAAGTGGTCAGACCTGTTTGCTGTAGGAAATGGCAGGGCTGGAGCCTGGCAGCAGGAACCAGACCTGGGGGGACAGCAGGAGCCTGCAGATCCACATGGAAAGTGGCCATGGCATCTGGCTGGAGCCTCTGCCACGAGCCAGACACCCACCCCTGGAGCCCTGGGTCAGGAAAAGCTTCACCCAGCAGCAGGAACAGCTCTGTGTCCACCTGCTGTGCTCCCCACGGGCAGCAGGGTGTCTGGATTTAGGAGCCTGCAGGAGGCCTGGAGCTCCAGCTGAGGCTGCTTTTATCAGAGCTTTTACACCTGTGGTGAACAGAGCTTCCAGAGAGTAGACAAACCCTTGGAAATCTGTGCCTGTGCACCACATCCCACTGCCAGCAGCTCAGAGACCCCCAGAGCCCAGCTCCCCTCCTGAGCCACCTCCCTGACCATGGGAAAGGAGGTGTAAAGTAAAGCAGATCCTGCAGCTTGAAAGGTCACCCAGCACTGCCCAAAGCTGCCACTTGCTGGTGCCTCTGAAAGGTGTTTTGCAATCCATTCCTGAAGGAATTGGTTTAGATAAACAACCTCTCCCCATGCCTGGTGACAAAGCCGTTCAGATGACCAGAAACCAGTACATTTTACCTTCTGAAAAGGGATAAAACTCTCCTTCAGCTACAGATTTCAAGTGTATTTCCTCTTCTCACACACCCTGTATATACAATCCTAGAAGCATGGAATGGTTTGGGTTGGGAGGGACATGAAAGCTCATGCCATTCCACCTCCTGCTGTGAGCTGGGACACCTTCCACCAGCCCAGGCTGGCCTGGAGAGCTCCCAGGCAGGAGCTGAGAGGTGTGCGAGCAGCCCTGGCTCTGGAGCAGCCCCAGCACCACGGCTCCCTGCGCACTTTGATCTCTGTGCCCCAGGGAGGGTCAGCCTGCAGGGCCAGGGAGCTGCAGGGCAGAACAAACAGCTCCAGCGTGGCAACAGACATTAATTCCCAGCCAGTACAAGCCATTCACTCTGCCATTTACACAGCACAACAACTCTGGAAAAATTCTGCCCCCAGCACAGGAGTCACTGGGCTGGAGCCACCCAGGCATCAAAAAGCTTCACATTTAACACAGGCAATAAATAAAAACCAAACTGTGCCTGTGCAAAAAGAGGCTTTTCAATAACTGTGAGCAAAAATGGCTGATTGTACAAGCCAGGCTTGTGATTTCCTCCCTGTGGCTCTGCCAAGCCTCACACTGTGCAGGCAGCTTTCCCAGGACTGGGTGGGAATGGTGGAGAGCAGCCTGGGGAGAAAGTGCTGAGGCCAGACATGCCCCAGCCACGAGCACTGGGACCCCAAAATTCCCGTGGTGATCCCCCAGCATGGGCAGCAGGAAAGGGGAGATTCCAGCCCTCTGCACCCAAAGCCCAGGAGAAAGCCATGCCAGAGGAGCAGAGAGACAAAAGCACCTTCAACAGGGAGCAGACAGGAGCCAGAGGGAACTGGGAGCACCTGGAGCGTGGAGATACACATCAGAGAGCTGGAGATCCTGATAAGGCATCAAAGGAGCCCCAGGCCTCCCACCACCACCCTGAACTTCCCATCCAGCCTGCTGCTCCTTCCCTCCTCCAGAGGTGGGTACTTCACAGCCTGAGTCACCAGCAGAGCCCCAGGACAGGACAGTGGAGCCCCAGGAAAGGCCAGGAGATGATGACAGAGCTCCAGGACATGGCAGCAGCTGCCCTGGGAGCAGGCAGGATTGCTGCCCTCCAGCAGCACAAAGGCAGCAGGTTTTACCTGTGGACACAGGAGATCCCAGCAGGACAGTGGGACCTCCCAGCTGCACCTCTCTGGGAGAGAGAGCCCTCTGGGATGGGAATGCCAGCCCAGGATGCTCCAGGCGACAGAGCTGCTCCCATAAACCCAGGACCAACCCGCTCCTGCTCCAGGGGAACTGTGCTGGGGTGACTTTCCCAGGTGAGGCTGTGCTGGGCACTTTGGGTCACCCAGGCCTGGCTCTGGTGCCCAGGCTGAGCAGACCTGGTGGCCCTGGGGGTCGTTGCCAAGGCTGGCAGGCGGGATTGGGGTACTCACACAGAGGAGGCCCGAAGAGCACCGTGTCCAGAGCCTTGAGCTGCAGCTTCTGCCGGTGGCTGCGGTCGGTCATCTTGAGCACAGTCCCCATCATGGTGGCATTGTTCACTGCCAGCCTGCACAACAGGGCGAGAAACTGCTCTGGGCACAGCCACCAGGGCCAGCAACACAGCAGGCACGAGGGAGATGCAGAGCAGGGCCCAGCAGCTCCCTGCTGCCAGGGCAAATCCCTCACGGTTGCTGTCTCTAACCAGGGTGTCTCCAGGACACTTTGCAGCAGCATTTTTAGGAAAAACCAGGGCCAAGCCTAATTCATTAACCTGACAGCATGAGGAACTGATTTCCCATCAAAACCCACCTTTTGGTGTCCTACAAATCACTAACAAGTATTTTTTAACCAAATCTCCATTGCATTTACATCCTCTGTCACAGACCATAAACCACAGTTCTCCCTTGGAAGGAATGTGGGCACACATTGTGCTGCCCCAAAAACACCCTCATTTTAACCCCAGTTAATCCCTCCTTCCCAATCAGCTGAAAAGGCCCTTTTCAGTGAGAGGAACCTTTACCCAAAAAAGCTGCACTGAGGTTTTTCCAACCTGTTACAAGTTTAGGTTGACTCCCAGCCAGTGCTCCTCTTCCATGGAATCATGGAATGGGCTGGGTTGGGAGGGATTCTAAATCCCACCCAGTGCCACCCCTGCCATGGCAGGGACCCCCTCCCACTGTGCCAGGCTGCTCCAGCCCCAGTGTCCAGCCTGGCCTTGGGCACTGCCAGGGATCCAGGGGCAGCCCCAGCTGCTCTGGGAATTCCATCCCAGCCCCTGCCCACCCTGCCAGGGAACAATTCCTCATTGCCCAGATCCCATCCAGCCCTCTGGCCCTGACAATGAGACACTCCAGGCAGTCCTGCAGGATCTCAACCTCCCCTTTTGGGACCGCTTTTGCCAAGACTCAGGAACTGCTGAGGTTCTGCTGCCCCTGAGCCCCCACATGGCATGGGAAGAGCTGCCTGGAGCTTTCCCTGTGACACCACACCTTTCCCAGGGCTGGTTTGCCCCTGCAGTTCCCAAAATTAACACATGCAACGAGGCCATCAGATAGAGGAGCAGAGGAGGCCCCACCTCCTGCCACGGCACCAGCAGGGCTCAGGCCTGGCACCCTGGCAGGGCCAACACCCAAAGTGCCAGCAGGTGCCAGCTGGGATCACTGGGATTTCTATCAGCCAGGTGATCCTGCTGCCTCCACGCTCCAACAGGGAATGCTCATCCTCAGCACATGCCCAAAGACCCTGAATGCTGAGGTCAGCTCCCAAAACCTCACCCCTGCTCCAGGCCCTGGCACAGGGTGCCCAGAGCAGCTGTGGACTCCCCATCCCTGGCAGTGCCAAGGCCAGGCTGGATGGGGCTTGGAGCAGCCTGGCACAGGGGAAGGTGTCCCTGCCAGGGCTCTGGATGGGCTGTGAGGTCCATTCCAACCCAAACCAGGCTGGGATGCTGGGATTCCCTCTGGGCTCTGACTAAGAAAAGCACACACGGAGCGATGCCAGAAAAATCCGATCGGAAGCAGCTTGAGAAAGGATCTGTGGGAGGAGGAGGAGCAGGTGCTGCAGCCCAAGTGAACCAGGTGAACTTTGCTCCTTCACCTCCTCCCCTGGGCATCTGTGGATTATTTCTGGAGCTGTTATGCAGCTCCAGAGCCATAAATGAGGAAACCTTAGGAAATCAAGCTCCTGCCCTTGCCACTTTGTTGTGCTGTACTTACAGCAATGCTCTGGAGGCAAACACAGTCCCAGAATCCCAGACTGGTTTGGGTTGGGAGGGACCTTAAATCCCATCCAGTGCCACCCCTGCCATGGCAGGGACACCTCCACTGTCCCAGTGTCATGTTCAACCTGGCCTGGGACAAGGCAGATGTGTTTATTGGACAGAGGGGGCTTTGTAACACTTGAATTTATCATCCCCTGGCCCTGTCCATGGCAGGGCTGCATGGCTCTGCTGCAATGCCAACCCTGGCTGGGCCCACGAGCACAGAAACATCTTCCCAAACTCCAGGGAGCCCAACACCTCCCATGGGGAGCTCAGGGGTGAGGGAGAGGAGGGATGAGAGATCTGGGAGAGATGAGGGAGCTGGGGGACGTGGGGGAGCTGAGAGAGATGAGGGAGATGGAGCTCAGAGAGATGAGGGAGATGGAGCTCAGAGAAATGAGATGGCAAATCTGGGAGAGATGGGGGAGCTGGGGGACGTGGGGGAGCTGAGAGAGATGAGGGAGATGGAGCTCAGAGAAATGAGATGGCAAATCTGGGAGAGATGGGGGAGCTGGAGCTGTGGGAGCTGGGGGAGCTGAGAGAGATGAGCGAGCTCAGAGAGCTGACTGAACTATGAAGGGCAGAAAGATGAAGATGAGGAAGCTGAAGGAGCTCACAGACCTGAGGGAGATGAGGGAGGTGGAGCTCAGAGGAATGAGTGATGAGAGAGAGGAGGGATCTGGGAGAGATGAGTGAGCTCAGAGATGGAGCTCAGAGCTAACTGAGCTGATGGAGCTGAGGCAGAGCCCCGTGCTGAGTGAGCACAGCAAGGCTCCAAAGGAAGGTGCCATTCCCACAGGTGCTGGCATGGTGACCCAGCTGCAGGGTGGCACAGACGATGCCACCAACCCTCCCTGGCCGCAGGGAGCTCCTGTCACTGTGCCACACACCAGGGGACACCTGTGGCTGTGGCACCAGCAGGATGGCAACGACGGGAGAAGCCACAGGCCCTGCACAGTGACATCACCAGCACTTGCCACAGGCCATGAGGCCACGTGCCCAGCCAGCAGCACTGCCAGCCCTGGCTCCTGCAGAGCCCCTGGCTTCTCTCACCTCCACGTGCAGCCGTGTTTCTTGTGGGAAGAACCCCTGAGAACCACAGGCACAGATGAGCAGGAGCCTGCCCTGCCTCCTCACCCCAGGGGCTGATCTGGCATCGCTTCCACAGCTTTGGCAGAGCCAGGCTCACCCAGGTGCCACCCCTCAGATCCAGCACCTCGTGAGGCCACCACAGCCTTTACCTTTTGCCATAGTTCAGGGGCAGAAATCTCTTTTTACTTTCCACATGTGACCAGGAACAGCAGCAATGGAAGGGAGGAAAAGCAATGGCTTGAAAAGAAATGACACAGGCCCAGCCACCCCACACCTGAGGGATGTCAGTGCCCTTCACAGCTGTTGGCACACCCACAGGAGGGAGCAGACCTCTCCTACGAGCCTGATTCATGACTTCAGCTCAAACTCCAAAATTAGGCTTCAAATTTCCCTGGCAGTGTCCCAGGCCAGGCTGGACCCTGGGGCTGGGAGCACAGTGGAAGGCTCCCTGCCTGGCAGGGGTGGCACTGGGTGGGCTCTGAGGTCCCTCCCACCCCAACTCCTGTGATTCCATGACATCAGAGCACCCTTCAGAGAGCAGGCACTCGTTCTGTCAGCCAGGTCTACACGATGATGAGAGGGAGAACAAGAGCAGGAGCTCAGTCCAGCACTGGACACCCACTGTGTCCCTGCAGGGACGTGGCAGCCCTGGCTGTGCAGAGGCAGGGACACAGCCAGGGCAGCTCAGTAATGAGGGGCCTGGTGAGTATCCAGGGATGTTCTCCTCCATCCCTTAATGATTTCTACCCTTTCCCAGCTGACAGCAAAACACACTCCAGGCAAAGCCGTGTGTAAACAGGCCTGTAAGGGGATAAATATTTCTTACAGGAGGCACAGGGACTCGGAGTCATGGAATCACAGCATCCCTGAGGCTGGAAAATGCCTCTGAGCCCACAGAGCCCAACCACCCCCAGCACTGCCACGGCCACCCCAACCATGTTCCCAAGTGCCACATCCTCAGGGCTGTGAAATGCCCCAGGATGTGACTCCATCCCTGTCCTGGGCAATTGTGCCACTCCTAAAGTGATGTGGACAAGAATTTTCAACACATCCCTGTCCAGCTCCATGGGAGAGAGTCTGGTCTGGGACACACAGCTCTGGAATTGTCACATGGATATCACAGAGACTGCTTTGGACTGGGAGAGACCCCAAATCCCAGCCAGTGCCACCCTGCCAGGGAACAATTCCTCATTGCCCAGATCCCATCCAGCCCTGCCCTCTGGCACTGGCAGCCATTCCCTGGCTCCTGTCCCTCCATCCCTTGTCCCCAGTCCCTCTGCAGCTCTCCTGGAGCCCCTTCAGGCCCTGCCAGGGGCTCTGAGCTCTCCCTGGAGCCTTCTCTCCTCATGCACAGCCCCACTGTGTTTCAATCCACGCTGCAGATGCTGCACCTCAGGGTCCATTCAGTGCTCCTGGGAATGGGATTGACTGCTGCACTCCCTGAGGCTGCACCCACAGCTCTGGAAACACAGAGCACATCCCTCCTGAGACATTTAAGGGCTAATACAGAAAAGCCAAACACAAACAGGACATAAATGAGAAACTGAAATTGCTGTGGCTGGTGAACTGATTAGAAGATTAACATCCAGTATTTCAAGGAATGGACATAGACAGAGCTCCTCTTTTAGAGATGAGGAACACAAAAGGAAACTGGATTCATGATTTCTGTGGAATTCTGTGTGAAAGCACTGGGGAAGCACTTGCCAATCTTAAAAGTTTGTTCCAAGACTCCCAGGTTTCAGGAGGTTTCTCAGCAGAAGCTGAAGTCCCACCAGCTCCCTGGATGCTGGGATAAATAACAGCATTAAGTTATTTCTACGTGGACTGCACTTATGACACTTCCTGGATTTTATTCTCCCTTCTTCTCACTGCGAAGGAGCTTTCCAGGTTAAAAATGTTTCTCCTAAGAAAAACACAACCTGCAGGAAAGCTCCCAAGCAGCTCTATTAATATGTAGGATGTCATCACCCAGTACAATTCCATCTGGGTGTTTGAAGAACCTGGAATTTGGCTGTATTTAACACATATTTCTAGGGCAGAGGAACAAAACAAGAACTGATCCTTTGGTGGGCACGCTCAGGTGCTGCAGGAACAGTTTGGAAGCACCAACCCCGAGGAAATCCTGGGAATCCACACCTCAAAAAGGGAGCTGAAGAGCACAAGGCCTGGCACAAGGGAGGAAAAGCAGCACATTCCTCCTGAGAGCTGCACTCTCTGCCCAGGGCATCTGCAATCCAAACTCCTTGGCACTCCTGGGAAAGGATTTCTTGCCTTTTTGCCCCTTTTTACCTTCGGATGTTTTCCAGGCCTTCCAGAGATCTTCCACACTGATGAGCTTGTCCTCTCCATGGAAAGTGCTGTGCTTGACTGCTGGGTCATGGTAATTCAAGTCTTCCCTCAAGAACTAGGAGAGGAATTAACAGCAGGATTAAGCTTTGGTTCATCTTATAGGGAGATGAGGAGCATAAAGAAAATTTTTGAATAGTAATAATTTTGATGGGAAAGTTATAATAAATCTGAATTAAAAAAACATGATGGATATATTAGATATATAAGATATACACATCTATTTTTTTTACAGATATAAGTATATTCCCTGCAGTTCCCCTGAATATGTCTGTTCCTGGAAAGACCAGCCAGGAAATATTCAGTAAGCAAATATGTTAAATTAATTTATAATGGAGTAGGGATAAGTAATTAGAATGCTTGGTCTTGGGATTCCAGACTTTTCTTTGAATTATAGGAACACCAAAAATTCACCGAAGTGGCACAATGGAACCAGCTTTATGTCAATGCAGTAAGAACCCAAAAATTATTCCTGGGTTTGATCTGCACCTTCAAATCCAAGCTGGAACAAATGCCACAGGCAGGAGGGGAGGCAGTTCCACTGAAAAATACAGATAAATCTATGTATCCCAGCTCAGTGTGCCCAGAGCAGCTGGGGCTGCCCCTGGATCCCTGGCAGTGCCCAAGGCCAGGCTGGACACTGGGGCTGGAGCAGCCTGGCACAGGGGAAGGTGTCCCTGCCATGGCAGGGTGGCACTGGGTGGGCTCTGAGGTCCTTCCCAGCCTAAACCAGTCTGTGAAATCCGCCAGAGAACCACTCACATCCCAGTGCCCAACAGGTGGAACCAAGTTCAAGGATAATTCCACATTCCCAACCCCCAGGACACGACCCCCACGCAGGCAGCTTCATCCCTGGGCTCTCCACGTGCGACAGGCTGGCACCCACACCCAAAAAAGACCCGTAGGTCTGGAGATGGTGCTTGAACGTCACACAGGGCACGGACAAGGCCTGGCAGCTTTAGATCCCAGGCTCCCTGCAAACCCCCTGCAGGAGCTGCCCAGGCAGCTGCAGCCTGGGGCTCTGCCCAAAAGCTGGCACGGCTCTTCCTGCCTGCCAGAACACAGGGAATGTGGGGAATGTGGAAAACGGGAGAATGTGGGGAATGTGGAAAATGGGAGAATGTGGGGAATGTGGAAAATGGGAGCATTCGGTAAATGTGGAAAATGGGAGCATTTGGGAAATGTGGAAAATGGGAGCATTCGGGAAATGTGGAAAATGGAGGAATCTGGGAAAATGTGGAAAACAAGACAATTTAGGGAAATGGGGAAAAGGGGAGAATGTGGGGAATTGTGGAAAACGGGAGAATTTGTGGACATGTGGAAAACATTTGAGGATATGGGGAATGTGGAAAATGGAAGAAGCTGGGGAAATGTGGAAAATGGAGGAATCTGGGGAAATGTGGAAAATGGGAGTATTTGGGGAAATGTGAAAAACGGGAGAATGTGGGGAAATGTGGAAAAGGGGAGGATTTGGGGACATGTGGAAACCAGGAGAATCTGGGGAAATGTGGAAAATGGGAGAGTGGAGAGAAATGTGGAAAGGGAGAATTTGGGAAATGTGGAGAAGGGGAGAATGCGGGGAAATGTGCAAAACCGGAGAATTCGGGAAATGTGGGAAACCGGAGAATTTGGGAAATGTGGGAAACGGGAGAATTCGGGAAATGTGGGAAACCGGAGAATTCGGGAAATGTGGGAAACGGAAGCATTTGGGAAATGTGGGAAACGGGAGAATTTGGGAAACGTGGAACACGGGAGAATTGGGAGAGCGTGGAGGCAGCAGGGGCTGAGCCAGCCTGGCGCTCCAGCTGTGCCAGGGCCTGGCCCGGGGGCGCCGTGCCCGTGGTGCCGCCGTGACCCGGCGGGAACGCGGCAATGTCACCCGTGTCACCGGCCCTGCTCCTGCTCCTGCTCGGGCTGCAGCACGGTCAGCTGCTGCTCTGTATATTTAGCTCGGGAGCACAGAAAGGAAAGGTGATCCCTCAGCTTCCCCTGGGCTCCAAAACAAACCCAAGGACTCGCCGGAGGGACGGAGCTGGGCTGGGGGATGAACTGATAAACGAGCAGGATGGGGCTGGGGGAGCTGGGCTGAGCCCACCAAAGCCCAGACAGACCTTAAAGCACATTTCCCACCAGTACCTTCTGGGGAAAAGGCAAAATCATGGAGTCCCAGACTGGTTTGGGTTGGGAAGGACCTTAAAGTCCAGCCAGTTCCTCCCCTGGCATGGACAGGGGCACCTTCCACTGTCCCAGATATTCCAAACCCCAGGCACAAGAACCACTGTGCAGAGCACTGACCTACTTGCAAAGCACTGGAAAGATCCCACTGATCCCAGGCCTGGAGACACCCAAAGCTCTGAGCCCTGGGCTCAGGGTGGACCAGACCATTGCCACGGTCCCACACAAACCATCTCCAAGATCCCACCCAGAGCACCCCAGCCTCAGCCGGGCTGTGAACCCACAAGGAAACTGAGTCAAACCCGAGGCTCCCCACCAAGCTCAGGGAAAGACAAACCCTGGTCAAACCAGTCAAAGGCAACAGGACCAGAACCACTGCTACAAACCCCAGGAGGAGCTGGGATCACAGTGGGAAGACTCAGCCTGGGAATGCTGCTCTTGGTACTCTGAGGCCTCCAACAGCAGGAGCACCTGGAGCTGCTGGAGAGAGCCCAGAGGGGTCACAGAAGTGCTCCAGGGCTAGAGCCCCTCTGGAGCCAGGCTGGGAGAGCTGGGGGTGCTCACCTGGAGAGGAGAAGCTCCAGGGAGAGCTCAGAGCCCCTGGCAGGGCCTGAAGGGGCTCCAGGAGAGCTGCAGAGGGACTGGGGACAAACTTGCTGGCTGAAGGCACACTCAGAAATGAGAAGATCCACAAAATAGGATTTTCTGGAGGGTTTTTTTTTTCCCATAGAATCACAAAATATGATTCTAAGTTGGGAGGGACCCAACAGGATCATCAAGTCAAGTCCTGGCTCTTCACAGCCCCAACAGTCCCACCTTGTGCCTGAGAGCGTTGTCCAACCTCTCCTTGAACTCCGTTCTGTGGTTTTCTAATCTACAGAAACTCCAGCTACTGAAGTGATTTTTCAAAGCTTCCCATCCCTCCCACATCCCTGGATGTGTGCCAGCCTCCTCCCGAGCACCAGCTCCTGCTGTGCCCAGCCAAGGGCCAGACCGGCCACGCGCCGGGAGCGCGCCGTGCTCCCCAGCTCCAGCAGCTGCCCTGAGCCTCCAGCTCCACCAAAGGGACAGAAAACTCCTGTCTCCAAGGCTTCCCCACCCAGTGAGCCCAAGCAGCGGGATCTGGCTCTGGGAGGAGCCAGAGAAAGGCCGAGCAGCAACACAAACCTTGTTTCCTGAGGAAACCAGGCTGGCAGCATCCCAGAGCCCTGGCAGCGGGCACCCACATCCCAAAGAGCCACAGCTGCCTTTGCTGCGAGCGTGGAGACAGGAATAGATCCCTAATTAGAAGATTTCCCCATGAGGGACAGTTCTTTCACTTTAATCGAGGCCACTGATGTCATCTGAAAGTTCATTGAAGATTCACCTCCCAGCAGGAAAACTGCAAGGATGGTGCATGGACAGCGTGAAGCTGTGGGACAAAACTCCACCCATAATTTATTTTAAAAGTACCTGTGCTGTCTGTGTGTCCCCTTCTGCCCAGGCAGGGGTTTCAGTCCAAACAAAACACTCCCATCACTTACCCCCAAAGGGTAGGGGCCAAAATAATAAATGAAAATATAAAGTTCTCAGCCTAGCAGGAAAATGCCCATCCCTGGAAGAGTTCCAATCCAGGCTGGACCAGGCTTAGAGCAACGTGGGATAATGGAAGGTGTCCCTGCCCATGGCAGGTGGTGGAACTGGATGAGGTTTGAAGTCCCTCCCAACCCAGACCATCCTGGAAGTCCATGAACCCTGTAAAAGGTTTACATTTGAGCCTCCTGCATTCTTCCCAATAATCCCCCAGCAGCTGTCCCCCCACAGCCCGGAGTTAAACCTGACTGCAGGCTCCATGTGGGGGAAGAGTGATAACCTTGACAGGGAGAACACAGCAGGAGCCAGCTCAGAGAGGGAAATTCCTGCAATACCTCACTGAGTGGCTCCAGAGCTTATTGACAGGTGAACTTAATGCAACTTCAATAAAAGCTTAGCAGAGGTAAAGCAGCAACTGCATGGATGGAATCCAGGGACAGAGAGTCACTGAGGCTGGAAAAGACTTCCAAAATCATGGAGTCCAACTGTAAGTGCAACAACCCGAGCGCTCTGCTCGGGGCAATCCCAGCACAAACACAGCCTGGGGAGAATGGACTGGGAGCAGCCCTGGGGACAGGGAGCTGGGATTGCTGGGAGAAGCTCCACAGGCCCTGGCCACGAGCACTGGGACCTGAAATCCCTGTGCCCTGGGCTGGTCCCACAGTGTGGGCAGCAGGAAAGGGATTGGGATTGTGCCCCTGTGCCCCTCTCAGGCTGGACAGCCCTTTCCAGGAGGAATTTTCCCAATGTCCAACCTGAACTTTCCCTGGCCCAGCCTGAGGCCGTTCCCTCTGCTCCTGTCCCTGTTCCCTGGAGCAGAGCCCGACCCCCCCGGCTGTCCCCTCCTGGCAGGGACTTGTGCAGAGCCACAAGGGCCCCTGAGCCTCCTTTGCTCCAGGCTCAGCCCCCCCAGCCTCTCCTGGTGCTCCAGACCCTTTTCCAGGCCTGTTGCCCTGCTAGAAGCAGAGCAGAGGTGCTGGGAGCAGGAGCAGCCCTGGCAGGGCTCAGCACTCTCAGATCCAGCTCAGAGGGGTTTGGGGAGTGGCAGTATGAACACCAAGGCAGTGATTCTGGAGCCTCTTGGAAAAACCCATTGAATTCCTCCCACCCTGGCAGTGTCTCTGTGCCAAGGCTCTGAGCACACGTTCCCAGCAGCGTTTTGTACCCGGAGCTCCCCATGACTGCAGTGGGACTGGGGGCAATATTTGCTCAGAGACATAAAACTGCCAGCTCTGCCCAGCCCTAAGAACACGAGGCTTATTCCTGATTTAATGCCAGGGAGCAGCACACCTGGGCTGAACTGGGCTGCCCGAGGCTGCCCCAGTGCCTGGAGAGGCTGAGCTGCAGCTCCAGCCACCCAGTGCAGGGAACTGCCTCCAGGGAAACACCTCAAGTGCAGGAGAAAATGCAACTGGAAGCCTTTCAGTTGCTTTCACTACTCAGTCAAGTGGGATTGAGGCAGAGGGAACAGCCCTGCAAGCTGGGAACAGCCACCCAAAACCAGCAGCTCCTGGCTCCAGGGGCCTGTGTCATGTCCCTGGGAATTGTCACTGCTCCAGAGGGACATTGTGATGGCTGGGTTTGCAAGAGCAGCTGGGGCTGCCCCTGGAGCCCTGGCAGTGCCCAAGGCCAGGCTGGACACTGGGGCTGGAGCAGCCTGGCACAGGGGAAGGTGTCCCTGCCATGGCAGGGTGGCACTGGATGGATTTAAGGTCCCTTCAACCCAAACCAGTCTGGGATTCTGTCACCTGGGACTGCAGAGCTACCCGTGAGTGGCAGCAGATCCCTGCACCCACGTGCTTACTCTTTCAGCTTCCAACACTTTGCCTTTCCTGTTTAGCTGCCAGTTCTCCCTAGAAGACAGAATTCCTCACCTCCAACGAGCACCCACCACAACTGAGGCAACACTGCAAACAAAGAGCTTTTCCTTTTCCAGCAGACTCTTATTTCCATCAGTGCTTGTGTAAATAAAGAACAACAACTTTCTTTCTCTTCAATCCTTTATCACCTAAATGTCCAAGGCTGACACAACAAAAAGCTGCTCCTTTTTTTGCACTGAGCACACATGGCCCAAAATCTCTTTAGTTGGCTGCTGGAAGACTGCAGTAAACATAAAATCATGGAATGGTTTGGGTTGGGAGGGACATTAAAGGTCATTTAATTCCACCCCCTGCCACGGGCAGCAGACCCCTTCCACTATCCCAGGATGCTCCAAGCTTCATCCAACCTAGCCTTGGACACTGCCAGGGATGGAGCAGCCACAGCTGCTCTGACAACAATGAAGTGGCTACAAACCCCCAGCAGTGAGAAGCCCCAGCCAGCACTGGTGACAGTGCTGAGACACTCCTTGGAACATCTCAAGGTGACACGTGGCTTCCTCTGTGCTGAGGAGGAGGCAGCAAGCCCAGGTGCAGCCCTGGCCACAGCAGCCTGACTGTGAGAGCAGCCCAGCACTGGGCTGGGCGAGGCCCTGGTGATACCTTGGGTTTGAAATTTCTCTGTTCTGTTTTGGTGTGCAGCTTTAGCTTTATGTTAAGTTTTACTGGGATCTTTTCACAGGGTGGTGAAGACAAAACTATCCCATTCTAGCTGGAGACTCAAGGACAATCTCTTCCAACTTCAGGCCCAAAGCACAAACAATGTGAAAAGAGGAGGGTGGGCAAACAAGCAAGGAGGATGAAACCTCATCATTTGAAGCTATTATTTAGACAGTTGGCTCCTGTATGCAAATGGACTAAAACTTATAAAAATGGGAGATCATGTGACCAAGGCCTCTTCTGCTTCCATCTCTGCCATCCTGGCAGAGCCACACCTGTGGCTGTTGTCCTGCCTATTCGAAGGCCCTTCAATAAATACCCTCTTTATTCTCCTAACTCCATCCAGCCCCTGTTCCCGCAGCTCCAGGCCCCACTGGGCACAGCCCGGCCCGCACTGACCTCGTCGCTCTCCTCCACGTCCACGTTGCCGTTGGCGTCGTCGTCCATCTGCTTGTGGATGTTGCGCACGGCCTCGAAGCTCAGCTGCTCGTCCTCGTCGTGGCACAGGGCCTTGTCGATGCGGCAGAACTCTGCAGGGACAAACAGCAGCGCGTCAGGCAGCAGCACCGACCCCCCTCAGGCAGCAGCACCGACCCCCGGTGTCCCTGCAGCTGCCACGGCGGGCTGGGCCACCAGCACAGCCCATGGAGCCGGGCAGGGCAGGGCAGGGCAGGGTGGGGTGCCCCTCTCAGCCCAGCCCTCCACATCCCATGGGACAGCTCTCCCTGCAGGGGCTGGCTCTTGCTCATGGCCCCAGCAGGGCAGAGCAGGGCAGGGCAGTGTGCCCCTCTCAGCCCAGCCCTCCACATCCCATGGGACAGCTCTCCCTGCAGGGCAGGGTGCCCCTCTCAGCCCAGCCCTCCACACTCCACCAGAACAGCTCTCCCTGCAGGGGCTGGCTCCTGCCCACGGCAGGGCACGGTGCAGTCCCAGCCCAGCCCTCCACATCCCATGGGACAGCTCTCCCAGCAGGGCAGTGTGCCCCTCTCAGCCCAGCCCTCCACATCCCATGGGACAGCTCTCCCAGCAGGGCAGGGTGCCCCTCTCAGCCCAGCCCTCCACATCCCATGGGACAGCTCTCCCATCAGGGCAGGGTGCCCCTCTCAGCCCAGCCCTCCACATCCCATGGGACAGCTCTCCCATCAGGGCAGGGTGCCCCTCTCAGCCCAGCCCTCCACATCCCATGGGACAGCTCTCCCAGCAGGGCAGTGTGCCCCTCTCAGCCCAGCCCTCCACATCCCATGGGACAGCTCTCCCAGCAGGGGCTGTTTCCTGCCCATGGCCCCAGCTCCACGTCTCCCTTGGAGGCTGTTGGTGTTGGCACCACATGCAGCCAGGGCGTTTGGGGAGGAAGTTGTGTGTTTATAATACACAGCAATTAAAACCCTTCCCTCTTCCTGATTATGGAACGGGTTCTTCTGGCTGTTTTTCACATAATTTTGTTCTTTCTAAGACTAACACTTTACATTTTGCTGCGTGCCCGAGTCCATGCAAGCAAATGGGGCTGATCCAGCCCCCCATGGCACTGCCAGGTGGTGACACGAGACCCAGGGATGGAATCCTCAGGGACCTGGGCAGGCTGGAGAGCTGGGACCATGCCAAGGCCATGGAGTTCAGCAGGGCCAAGTGCAAGGTGCTGCAGGGGCTGGGGGTGTTCACTTGCAGAAGAGATACCCGAGAGCCCCTGCCAGGGCCTAAAGGGGTGCCAGGAGAGCTGGAGAGGGACTGGGGACAAGGGAATGGCTTCCCAGTGACAATGACACAGCCTCCTGCAGAGGCAGGGCTGGTGTCCTGCTGCTTCCCAAACTTCGGGGAGTTTACTCCCTGGTAACTCATGTCTGTCCATGTGGCCAGGGGAGTCCAGCAACGCTGTGACCTGGGGACCCAACCAGTGAGCGAACTGGGAACCCTTCCCAGGGCTCTCCACTCCCCACGGGCTCTCCTGAAGGGACACCCTGAGCCACACGGACCTCAGAAAAACAGCGGATGCCCTGAGGCTGACTTGGAGAGATTTGGGGTCACTCTCCTACCCTGCCAGAGCTCTCTCGTGGCTCAGAGCTTTGGCTGGGCCTTTCTGTGTGGCTGCTCCCGTTATCTCCGAGGCAGCGAGCAGGGACACGAGATGGTCTCTGTGTTTATGCTGCCCTTGGACACGACTCCAGAAGGAAAAATGAAGCCAGGCTAAACGATATCTCCCAAAATATTACATGGTTATCTTGTTCCGAGCCTGTGCTTGTTGTTGCAGGGGAGAACATGGCAACGCTGTAGCAAAGTTTGGATTATAGGAAGGGAAGGTCGTGTTATTGTAAAAGTGGGTTTATTCAGATTAACCCCCTCCTGACCACGGAACTCCCGAGCCCTGGCTCACGTCTGTTCAAGGGGTTCAACCAGGGAAAGAGACCTGTAGGGATGAAGAAAGGAAGGGATGCAGGATTGGAGGAGTCAAGGATTGAGGGGACCCTGCCCAGATTTCCTGCCACCCCAAGGACAAGCCCTGGGTATTTGCAGTACAAACGCCAGGAATGAAGATTGACTGAGAGCAACAGCAATAAAACAAGGCTTTCAAGAGCTGCCAGGTGCTGATAATCAACTACACCATCAACAGCAATCAAACCAAACCCGGGAGGAATGTGGTGCTTTCATCAAGACCAAAAGGAGCCTGAATACTGAGCACAAGTGATTTAATCAGCAGACAACCCCGCAGTGGTAACAGAATGATCCCAACATTTCAGCAGCCACGATGGGCTATTCATTCCCCTGCCTGTTATCTCCCTTCCTCCCCCTGTTATCCCCACGGGCAGGAATACCCAAATGAAGGAACAAAGACCGGCACCAGCCACTTTGCCTAAGACTGACGGAAGATTAAGCCTAAAGATCCTAGCACAGAATCGTCCTTTGTGTGGGAAGGGACCTTAAAGCTCATCCACACCTTCCACTGTCTCAGGCTGCCCCAAGCAGCCCTGGAATACTGCAATCAGGCTATTCCAACGCACCTTCAGCGAACAAAAGCCTCAAAATGACTACGAAATTTGCTTAAAGTAGATCTCCCTCTCCAGAACGTCCAGCCCTGACTTTTGCCCCGGCAGCTTCCCCAAGAGACACCTGCCTGCTCCTCCCAGGGCTGTGGCTCCTGAGGAGCAGCACCGCCACCTCCACTCCCACCCCGCCCCTCTGAGTCACCGGGAACCTTCTGTCTCCATCCCGCTGTTCGGTGGCCGCAGGCCTGCTCTTTATCTCCCACCATCGGCTCACAGGCTGCTTCTGCCCCGCCGAGCACAACAAAGAGTCCCTTGTCCCTCCCAAGGGGTGGCTTTGATGGGCCATTAACCGGGGCACATCAACACGGGCCGGCCTCACAAGAGACCTGTAGGGATGAAGAAAGGAAGGGATGCAGGATTGGAGGAGTCAAGGATTGAGGGGACCCTGCCCAGATTTCCTGCCACCCCAAGGACAACCCCTGGGTATTTGCAGTACAAACGCCAGGAATGAAGATTGACTGAGAGCAACAGCAATAAAACAAGGCTTTCAAGAGCTGCCAGGTGCTGATAATCAACTACACCATCAACAGCAATCAAACCAAACCCGGGAGGAATGTGGTGCTTTCATCAAGACCAAAAGGAGCCTGAATACTGAGCACAAGTGATTTAATCAGCAGACAACCCCGCAGTGGTAACAGAATGATCCCAACATTTCAGCAGCCACGATGGGCTATTCATTCCCCTGCCTGTTATCTCCCTTCCTCCCCCTGTTATCCCCACGGGCAGGAATACCCAAATGAAGGAACAAAGACCGGCACCAGCCACTTTGCCTAAGACTGACAGAAGATTAAGCCTAAAGATCCCAGCACAGAATCGTCCTTTGTGTGGGAAGGGACCTTAAAGCTCATCCACACCTTCCACTGTCTCAGGCTGCCCCAAGCAGCCCTGGAATACTGCAATCAGGCTATTCCAACGCACCTTCAGCGAACAAAAGCCTCAAAATGACTACGAAATTTGCTTAAAGTAGGTCTCCCTCTCCAGAACGTCCAGCCCTGACTTTTGCCCCGGCAGCTTCCCCAAGAGACACCTGCCTGCTCCTCCCAGGGCTGTGGCTCCTGAGGAGCAGCACCGCCACCTCCACTCCCACCCCGCCCCTCTGAGTCACCGGGAACCTTCTGTCTCCATCCCGCTGTTCGGTGGCCGCAGGCCTGCTCTTTATCTCCCACCATCGGCTCACAGGCTGCTTCTGCCCCGCCGAGCACAACAAAGAGTCCCTTGTCCCTCCCAAGGGGTGGCTTTGATGGGCCATTAACCGGGGCACATCAACACGGGCCGGCCTCACATCCCTCCTGCTGGCCCTTCCATCCCTCCTGCCCCCCTCACATCCCTCCTGCTGGTCCTTCCATCCCTGCTGGTCCTTCCATCCCTCCTGCTGGTCCTTCCATCCCTCCTGCCCCCCTCACATCCCTCCTGCTGGCCCTTCCATCCCCCCTTCTGGCCCTTCCATCCCCCCTGCTGGCCCTTCCATCCCTCCCGCTCCTCACATCCCTCCTGCTGGCCCTTCCATCCCTCCTGCCCCCCTCCCATCCCTCCTGCTGGTCCTTCCATCCCTCCTGCCTCCCTCCCATCCCTCCTGCTGGTCCTTCCATCTCTTCTCCTAGCCCCTTCCATTCCCCCTGACCCCGTTTCATCCCTCCTCTTGCCCCTCTCTTCCATCCCTCCTCCTGTCCCTCTTCCATCCCTCCTGCTGCCCCTTCCATCCCTCCTGCCCCTTCCACCCCTCACCCCTCGGGCTCGCTGTCCCCACCAAAGGCACTCTGCAGCCTCTGCTCGGGGGTCCTGCTACCACCCCAAAGGTGCCCCCACCCAGATCACCGAAGGACCCTGAGGCCGAAGTGCTAGAGCAGAGCTGGAATTTCACTGAGCCATCGAGCTTGGAAAAGCCCTTGGACACCACCGAGCCCAGCTGTTCCCCAGCACTGCCAAGGCCACCACTGACCATGTCCCCAAGTGCCACACCTGTGAAATCCAGCCAGGGATGTGACTGCACCTGTGCCAGGGCTGGACAACATCTTCCATTAAGGAACTCTTCCCAATATCCAACCTGAACCTCCCCGGTGCAATTTGAAGCCATTTTCACCTACCATGGAAAGCATTTTGGGGTGGTTTTGTAACAGATGACAAAGATGTGTCTTATGGTGGTCCTGGCTGGCACAAGTCACCCAGAGAAGCTGAGAAGGCTCCAGCCACGGGGCCACCCAAAACTCAAGAGGACATGGCCCTGGACCAGCAGCTCTGGGCAGCTCTGCCTGGGCAGGGCTGGAGAGGACAATCTCCAGAGCTCCCCTGGAACATCACTTCATTCCAGACTTTTCCTTTCTCATGGGAGATTCTCTAACGAGGATCTTGTTTGTTTAATTTCCCTTGATTTCCTTTTGTGAGGTCCCATTATCTCCAATAATGCCCCAAGCCCCTGCAGCTCCCAGCTCTGCAGCAGCAGCCCTGGGGACAGCACCGAACAGCAGCTTAATTATTACAATTGTCATTTACAT